CAAGATGTTGCAACAAAAAAACATCAACACGGCCAGTTCCAATTCTTCCTTCAATCAACCTCCAAAACCTGCTCTCATCCACCTGGAATCAAACCTTTCAACTCAACCTCCCTCCATAACTAAAATCACCACACCCTGATTTTGTACCCTCGGATTCTGATATGTATGGACCAGGAGTGTCTCAATTGGCATCACTGAATTGTTACCAAGTGCTGCCAGGGTTCTTTCATAAGAGAGCAACATGCACACCTCTCCTCGAATGTCATCCTCCCCCAGCAATGTTAATTTTGCACTTCAGCATGTGAACAACACATCAGCTTTCTTTAACAAGGAAACCCAGTTTTCCTCTTCTACATTAGCAACTGCAGGTAGTGCTTAATGTAATTTCAGTGGTTAAAATTGGTAAAAACATCTTGCAATTATTTTATGTTGCTTCCTAACTTACTCTACTTTCAAGTACATATTTTTCAACAAGTGTAAATTTTTATTACAGGGCATTATTTTTTTTATGGTCATTTGTGAAGTACTGGTCTTTGTTATAAATGATGAAGAAATTTCAAGCACCATACTTGTAGCATGCATGGAGTTAACCCTTTAAGTCCCACTGGTGACCAAGACAGAACTTCTCCTTACACTGTCAGGACTATATGAAGCAGACAAGTAATGAGAATAAAGAAAAATATCAGACAGAACTTCTCCTTACACTATCAGGACTATATGAAGCAGACAAGTAATGAGAATAAAGAAAAATATCAATTAGGGCATTATTGGTTGATCCAATTTCAAATTCTCCAAACTAACATCACGTAAATTGCACGGCAGACAGTAAGGAGAATTACTAATGGATTCTTGGGAGTGAAAGGGTTAAAACTGTGGTTGAATTTTTGGTAAGAGGTTGGTGGTTGTATCCAGTTTTTTCTCAAAATTGATATTCTTTGTTTTCACAGGGGTGCCTATAGAATAAGAAGACCATTAGTAACATGTATCTCAGGGGTTTAGAAAGAAGCACAAATGCCAACTGACAATGCATGTTTTTGTTTTGTGTTGAAGGTCACCACCACGTAGAGGGGGAAGGTCTCCTGAGCAAGACAGGTACATCAACTTTGATGTATAATAAATACAGCAGTTTCTAGTAGAATATTTCTTTACTCAGATCAAAATGTGTAATGGCCAAAATTTTTGTCAAAACGTCACCATAAAGCAAGTATCTTTTGCTGTAAAATTTTGAAACTGTGTAAGTGGCTGTTGATTAAATATAAACATGCTGAAATTTGTGCGTCATTGATATTTTGTATCATGCAAACATCCAAATTGCTGTTTAAATTAATCTAATGTCATAGTGATCTCAAACCAGTTTGATTCATATTTTTCTCAGTCAAGGGACTGGAAATGTACCCAAAACAAAAGAAAGAACAAATTAAAGTAGTTTTGAGCATTTTGACCTGAAATGCATTTAAATTTAAAAAATCCTTTTTAACACCTTGTGCATTGTTTCCTTCAAAAGGTGGCCATCAAGAGGAAGGAGCAGGTCACGTAGCCCACGCCGTTACTAAATGTGGCATTACGTAAGCAGGTATTAAAAATCAGTTCATATTTATCGTATATTATTATTATCTCTAATCTAAAGTTCATTACTTGAAGTTCAATTTCATGTTAAGTCTCTTCAGAAGTTGCATTTCAAACTGCAGAAAATTTAGATGAACTAATACTTGTACATAAAGTATGTAATTTTTTGACCGGAACTTCATGTCACAACAGTTTTACTTTTATGGAGGCATTTTTCCAGAACTTCTATTGGTCTGTTTGCTTGTTTTGTCTGTTGAACCTCCAAACCCTTTCTGCCCTCTGAGGTTTGCACAATAATGAAATTAAAAAAAGAAAATTTAAAAAAAAATGACAACAAGCCCATCCTGAAGCCTTGCCTTCTTCCAAAGTTTTTCAATAGGATATAAGGTAATAAATTTGCAGCATCCTATTTTGCTGAATTTTTTCTACAGGAACTAATTTTTGTGGACTGAGGACAATTCTTAAAATCTGAAAAAAATTAATACCCACAGACTTTTCTTGTCGCAGTATTGTTCATTGTTAATAAACCACAGGCATTATTCCCTGCAAATTACTGGTGGTGCTGTCACTGATTATATTATTCACAATATTTTCCATTATCTGTTACAGATTTTCCCAGACAAGTGGAATTCCTCATTGTTCTGAAAGAGAAAGCTTTGATTCAAATAAGCTTCCATTTTGATTTATACCCTTTTCAGTCTTATGTTAAAATCTTCATATTTCTGTCTTTGAAACATTTTTTAAAGAATAAGTTGTTACAAGTATGCAATTTTTATGTATTGACTCGAAAGAGATTAACTAACGTAGTTTTGTCATCATCTGTTCAATATTTAGTCAGCTGTTTTACCTGGAGTATTTTGAAAGGAGAAGTTTGGAACTGTAGCAGTCTTTACATGCTCTGACTTTTTCCTTCATTTGTAAATTAATAATGCAGTAGATAGTTCAATGACTGTTAACATCATGAAACTCCTCAGGAGAACAGAACTGTTACAGATCAAGTCAAGTTTTGCCTGATTTTTCTGTTGTTACTTGTTAGATTTTGAGTTAAATGTGTAAAACATTTTTGATGTCAAAATAAAGTCTCCTTCATTATTCAGTTGAGGTAGATGGTGAACAGTCAATCAGCAAAGTATCTCAAAGTATCAGGTGAAGTGGTGTGCTGTGCACGCTATTTAACCTTTAACTCCCAAGATCTGATTGATAATTCTCCCTGCTGGCTACAAGACATTTCCTCATAAATTAGGCGCAAGAATTTGGTATTAAATCAAGATAACTTCTACCTGATGAGTTTGAGTATTCTCGTGACCTGTTTGCTGATAATATATGGATGATTTATGAATCTTAACCTTAATCACTTCTGGGAGTTGAGGGGTTAAACCTTGGTTCTGGCCAACATGGAAAGTACCTAAGGAAATACACCAGATGGTTTGAATGCGGAGGAAACAGTGGATCAGCACGAGAGTGGTCCTGAAAAGGACTGTTTTAGGTTACAGTGACCTTATAGGTAGACATCGCTAGGGTAATGTGACTCTGATAATCACTCGGCTCTACTGATGACTCCAACTTTGGTTATCAAAATGTTGATAGCTGTCGCTGAAAACACTTCTTTTCAGAATTACTCTCACCTGGACAATTAAACTAGTGAGCAAGCAAGCAAGCATTCATCACGCGCAATGACATCTGAAAAAATTCAAGCAGGTGAGAGGTCTTTTTATGCACGAAGTCTTGCGAACCTCCAGTGCATTCACACTTGTCTCCGGCTCGAAAGGCATGGGTTTCACTGCCAGTGGTACGATGGGACCTCGATTTAACGAGGTGCCATGGGACTGGGAAATTGGTTGTTAAATCGAAAGTCTCGATTTAACGAATTTGCGGAAAAACAACCTAAATGTTCGCTATATTGAGGGATGGTTAATAGATTTTAATATCATTGTTTTATATTACTTTTTGTGGCGTGAAGTCGCGCTACCCAGCATTTTGGGATCGGAACGACTAATGTAAATAACGTGTGCATCATTTAATTTCTATATGAAGCTACATTGCACCGCCGGTACATGTCTGTTCATAGCTACAGCACCGTGTTTTTAAAGCAGGGAGGACAAATTTCAGTGGAATTCACTGGCAAACGGAGAAACAAGGGCATTGGACTAGAAATTCCTGCCTCTTACACCTTTTACTACAAGAATCCTTTAAAAATTAAGAGGTTGATTTAAACTTAATAGAACTAATAAGAGACAAAGAGGATAAAGCGGATCTATAGATGTGTCGATAGCGTCAGTGTCGGCATTTAGAATAAGCTGTTAACTGTGAAGTTGTTCTGTTGAATAGTTTACGTTTAGTATTTGTTCGCTATATCGGGGTATAATATACGTTTGGGCTTCTGGAATGTGTTCGTTATAACGAGGGTTTCGTTACATCGACGACATCGAGGTTCTTTCTCAAATGTTTTATTGTAACTTTCGCCGGGCTGAAGAGTATCCTTCGTAATAACGAGGACTTCGTTATATAGAGGTTCGTTAAATCGAGGTTGCACTGTACACCATTGCATCCTTAAGATCTCCTCTAAATGATGAGATAAGAATTTTGACCGAGGATAATTTAATTCCTCATAATGTGGGGGTTACTCCCTCATTTGCCATAAATGAGATGATTTCAACAACACCCTTTCACCCAAGTTTCCTCCAACCCTTTCACTTCCAGATCTAGGTGTCAATTCTCCTCTCTGCTCTCCCATGTTTCTCGTAATGTTGGGTTAGAGAAAATGGTGACGAATCAAGCACTATCCCTCTCCTCATGTTTTTCCTTCTTCCCGGTGATATCGTAGTGAGAAATTTCTTTTTGGTCACTTCTGGAAGCAAAAATGTTAAATGCCTTCCCTGAGAGCAAAATTCTCTGAAGTTCATAACTTGCAGCTTTCCCTGCCCCTTCTGTAACTTTCTTTGTATTTATCCTCACTCTCTCCTCCACTCATTTTGTAGCAACCTATAACCAAATATATTATCATACACTGCATGAGGAGTTCCAATAAAAGCTGGTTATTAGTGATCTACAGGCACCTGTAAGACCTCTCAATGCCATCTGTTTAGCATGTAAGAAGGCTCTCATGTTTGGGTTTACAGTACAGCCACTTATGGAAAAGCGGTAGTTAAACCCCCAGCACTACTCCAATTAGCATATGATGCTTGCCCCTCCGTGGGTCATGATCCCGGAGAGTTCCTCTCAAGGGGTACCTACAAGGATTATATCACCACAAGAACAAAAATGAAACAGAAGTTAAGTGTCCTGACTAACTCCACATCCAATCTTGTTTGAGCAATTTCTTGTACTCCAAACCATGCCCTTTCAAACTGCACCGGTGTCGCAACTTTCAAGGTTTGTGAGATACTCCATTTGAGTCTACATGAACAGTAAACTGATTTCAGTATGGCGGTCATAAACCTCCTCGAACTGTTCCAGAAAGCACGTGGAGGACAGACACTGGGTTAATGTTATCGTAAACTTGTGGAACAAGAAATGAGTGCTGGTGGAAAATGCATCGCTAAAATGACTGTGTTTTTTAACGAAACAATACCATCGGAAGTTGTCACATGTTTTTGTACACGCGCATTACTAAGGTATGGTGCTATGCTGCAGTGTTCTGACAGCAATTTGCATTTGATGGATGTAGATATGTGTCGAAAAACGGTGCTTCCTAGCTTGGAAATGGTTGGTAAATCCCACAATCAACAATTCTTGAGAGCAGAAAGAGAAGAGAATCACTTTGTTTCAAAATAATGATTTACTCATTTGCAGCTAAGCAGTAATTTACAATGCTCGATTTCAAAATACCCATTTCAACAATGTCTTACTTTTAATGTACAGTGATAGAGACCTTTCGAAGTATGTAAAAGAAGAAAAGAGAATTTTAAAAGAAGAACAAATAGCTGTCCAGGTTGAGGTAAATATCTATTTTATGCTGCAATAGTCAAACAAGATTACTGAACAGTATGGAGTGTTGGTAGATGTTCGGTCATGATCATTTTCAGCAGGATTCCTACACTTAATATCTTAAAGACAGCTATAGCACTTGTGAGGAAAACTCTGAGTAAATTTGTGGAAATGTAACGAACTTTTTGCGAATACAAATTCCCCAGAACACTTTACAGAGAGTGTTGAAATACAGTACAGACTTGTACCCCAAAAGCATTTCATGTGCAGATGCTATGAATCAGAGTGCCATTGCTATTAAAATAGCTCATAATAATCTATCATCATTTCCAAATTTTTCTGGTTTTTAACTGTCCCATGAAGCTTACTTGAAATGATCCTCACATTTAAATACTAGACATTTCTTTAAATTGTTTAACCCTTTCACTCCCACAAGTGACCAAGACAGAACTTCTCCTTACAATATCAATACAATATCAAGCAGGCAGGTGATGAGAATAGAGAAGAATATCGATCATGGGATTATTAGTTGATCCAATACCAAATTCTCTGAACTAACATCATAAGAATTGTATGACAGATAGTAAGGAGAATTACTAATTAGATCTTAAGCCCTTTACACCTTGACATCAGTATATGTATTCCCATAATGTATTTAAAATATTCCCTATGAGACGAACAAGAAGAATTTGCATTTAAACAAGAGCCTTTTAAAATGGTGGTCATTTCCTTTATTCTCAAAACCCTGATTTTTGATTCAACAATGATGTTTTGAGGAGATTTTGGATGCTAATCACTCATTCTTGAATCATTAACTCTGCATGTACAAGACAATGCATCTTGATGACATCGATGAATCTGATGAGACTCTGTTCCAAGAGCTAGAATTAATGAAGAAGATGGGTTTGCCAACATCTTTCTGTGGCATGAGTTCTGAGAAAGAGGTTTGTACTCTTCATGGCTTGTTAGTAAGCATTCTAATAGGATCTGTGGCATAAGCAGGAACTGAAGCCAAAGCTATTACTCTAGTATTTGGCTACAATTACAAATTTTCTCTTGTTTCTAATACATTCATCTCTTTGTCTTTGCAGTCTGTATCATGTAGGGAGACTAAGAGACAAAAGGGCTTAAGTGAAAGTAAAGAAAATGATGCTTTACCAAGGGAAAAACAAATTACAAAGTTCAACAAAACAGACAGCAAGAGAAAGTGTGAGGCAAATAAGCAAATGATAAATACTGCACTTCCTTCAGCAAATTTTGAAATTGATGAGGGTTGCTCAGGTCTGTGTATACCAGAGCAGGAAACAGTAACTCCCCATTGTTGCTCAGATCTCCATGATGAAAGTCCAATTCAAAGAAAGAAGAATTTGTTTGAAGACATGGACAATACCAAGTTCAGTGGAGGGAAATTTTTGCAGGAGAACTCAAGTGTTACTATGCCACCATCAGATGAAATGTCGGAACACCAAGTCGATAGAGAATGTACCTGTTCACATGATTTTTCTGTGAAGTTCTTTTCTCAGGACTGCATAGAGAATCAAGATAGTGCTCCTACTGAAAATATACCTGAAAGTCAAGTGGAAGAACAAAATGATTTACAGCTGGTGGAACAATTAGATATCAGCAAAAGCAGTGATTCTGAACAAGAAGATGAGAGAATGCAAACAACAGAGGGAACTTTTATGCTGGAAACCCCTTGTGTTTTGAATTCTGAAGAGAGTGGTACAGCTGAGCAAAGCCAATTAGTGTACCAACAGGAACAGGATTCAAGTGCAAAAGCTACAGATTCTCAGAATATTACAATCCCTGTTCCTATAACAAGTGTCCCAGAAGGAAGAAAAAGTCTTTTAGTAGTTGAACAATCTAATGGCAAATTTGAAACTCATACTCTTGACGACACAGAAGAAAAGAAAACTCTCTCTTATTCTTATAATTATAATACCACAGAACAGAACATCAGTTATGACAGTGGCTGGGAACAGTATTGGAAAATATATGGTTACTCTTTGGTATGGGAAAGCTGGAAAACAATTTATCCTCAAATTGTTAGTGCTCAAAGTAATAACTGTTTAACAGATGATGAAGAAACAAGCTCTTCCAGTGAGGTCCAAAGTGATACCCAAGCAAACACCTCACTGAATGGAGAAAAAAAAGAAACAGAAGTAAACTCACTCTGGGAACAAAATTACCAGGATGTACATCATTATTACTATGAACAGTACCACTATTGGGCAAGTAAGGGTTACAGTTTTGATGGTCATTTAGATCACTTCACAAGTGATCCAGATGAGTCTGTTACTACTTTTGATGAAGACCAAGGCTGTGATTCAGGATTAGGAAAAGAGGTGGGTCACAGTTTCCATAGTCATTTAGAACACTCTGCAGGTGATCCAGATGAGTCTGTTGCTTTCTTTGATGAACACCAGGGCACTGTTTCACATGGATCTGGAAAAAAGCCAAGGAGGAAGAAGAAAGGCAGATGTGGTGGGGCTAGCCACTCAGCAGCAAAGTCAACAGCACATGCAGGCAGCAGGCTGCAACCATGGCAAGTTTCCAGGGGAAAGATTGAATCATGTGATGGAAATGAACCACCACCTGAAGAGAAATGCAAAAAATTGAAAAGGGCCCATGAGTTGGATGTGGAAGAAGAAAATACCTTAAGTCTTGAGAGAGCATATGAAATGATGGGATTCAAGGTATCTGATCTTATTTTTACTGTTATTATTATTATTGCAGCAGCATTACTATTATTATTATTATTATTATTATTATTATTATTATTATTATTATTATTATTATGTGGAAGACACAGTGGCATAGTAGATCGAGAGGTCTGGGTTCAAGACCTAATTTCTCTTGACAGTATCACCCTTCAATCAAAAGTTAAGGTCATGAGAATAAAGGAAATGATCACCAATTTAATAAGCTTCTGATTGTCAAACAAATTCTCCTTGTTAGTACCATAGGAATTGTAAAGAGAACAGTGTGGAGAATATGAGTGCTAATGTTAGGGTGCACAGGGATAAAAATGAAGTAACAAGAACAAGAAGGCAAAAACTTAATTAATTAATTTTTTTGGTTCTGTTTTGTTTTGAAGGTATCTCGCAAATTACCTCTTAACACTTCCTGCTCTTCAACCTTATCAAGTGTCCCTAGTGGAAGTGCCAAACTGATATTACCCGTAGAAGACCTTCAGACCAAGAACAATTTTCTAAACTTGCACCAGGTGTCGAAAGTTCCCAAACCGAAAGGAATACATCTTAGATTTGAAGATGAAGATGAAGATGATGAAGATGATGAAATACATTGTTTCACTCGAGAGGGTGAGAAGCCTTCACTACTTCATGCTCAGGAGAAATCACAAGAAGAATCAGAAGATCAGAGGGGTTTTAAACATGACCAAGACACAGACACAGGCTGCTGCGTGGATTTAAGCGGTCAAATTGATTCAAGTCCGGATTCTAGTGGTAAAGATAACACAAATGCAGATTTAAGCGGGAATAGTGATTCAAATGTTAATCTAAGCGGTAAAACCGATTTAAAACCAGAGTTATGTGATTCACATATCGATTCTGGCGGAAAATCTGATTCAAACTCGGATGTTGGAAACAATATGATGGATCGTCAAGTTGACGCTGTAGACAACCATAATAATGCTTGTCTTCGTTCAAATGATCACCGCAAAGTTTTCTTGAACCAGGACACTACTGATGATGTTAATGTGATAACAGATCCTCGGCAAGATCCAGAAATTGCCAAGTACTGGGCGCAGAGGTACCGCTTATTTTCGCGATTTGACAAAGGTATCAAAATGGACAAAGAGGGTTGGTTTTCTGTGACTCCCGAGCGCATAGCTAAGCATATCGCAGAACGGTGTCGTTGTGACCTTATCGTGGATGCATTCTGCGGAGTGGGCGGAAATGCAATTCAATTTGCCTTCACCTGCGAACGCGTCATAGCAATTGACATCGACCCTGTAAAGGTCGCCCTCGCTCATCACAACGCCACAGTGTATGGAGTGGCAGATCGGATTGAGTTTATTTGCGGTGATTACACGAGGCTGATACCGCGCTTGAACGCTGACGTGGTGTTTCTGAGCCCGCCATGGGGCGGACCTAACTATACCAGCGCAGAAGTGTTTGACATTCGAACTATGATAACATTGGATGGCTTTAGACTTTTTGAAGCAACCAAATCGATCACGCAGAACATTGCTTATTTCATGCCTCGTAACGCCGACATCGAACAACTGTTATCCCTTGCTGCTCCAAGTGGTAAGGTGGAAATTGAGCAGAATTTTCTAAACAAGAAATTAAAGACAATTACTGCATATTATGGAGAACTGGTGGAAGAAGTATTTTAAAAATTTAGGGAACGAAAACTTGCAGAGAACTTGCAAATCAGTTTCTGCCTAGTGAAACGAATAAGTCCCGCGTCCGTGTTCAGTGTATAAAACGCCAATAGTTTGGGCGAAATTAGCTGTCGATTTATTGTTTTAATTTATAGAATAATTTTCAAATGTATGTCGAAAGTAATCCCAGCCTTTTTAGGTTATGCTTCACTTCGCTCTGTGATTTCTCCAGAAAACTTGCGTTATTCTCTCAACCAATCAGATGCAAAACCAAAACCAATCGCACCTTTGTCACTCGGGTTTTCGCGCGCTTTACTCAGGTTATTCGTTTTTACTCTGCCTTCTCACTGGCTCCTTGCGATATTTTTCCTTCATTTTTTATTTGTTTTACGATACTCAATCGAAAAGCGCTCTATCGATCGGTTGTGTTCACAGTAGTACTTTTCCTACTGTGCACCTAGACTCACTAACGATATTTAGATGGTCCACTGACTCGAAAACTTCCAGATGTAATAATAATTAATAAATAATTCTCCTTTATGGCTGGCGTTCGTTTCTTTATAAATGAGTTCAGAGGATTTGGTGTTGTAGTCAATATAACGCTGTTTAAGTTGATAAGTTTTGGGGAGAAGTAACGTGTTTATCACCTCGTGAAGGTAATAGTAACTTTTACTGGTCGGGGACTTCCGAAATCAAACCAAACCTTAAGTAATTTTGCAATCGTTCAGTCTACGCACGTCAAGAATGTGTTTATAAAACTTTGTTAGTGAATAGTTGTAACACGTGATTGAGTTACGCTTTTATCTGGACATCTCGGAAAAAATACTTGTGTTAGAAGACTATTCGATAAAAAAAAAACATGTCCCAGGACCTACTTCCCTTAGGTCGGAGAAAATGTACCAACCCCAGTTTGGTATTTTACCGATACCCAAAATTCCCCTCAGCCTCTCTCAGCCCAATCTGTTAAATTGACCATCAAACTGCAAACTGCTTATATGACCATTTCGGGCTTCTCGTAGGGTCCAAATTGGAATGAAAAAAATATTGAAATAGGGCTTGACGAAAGAAAGTCGAAATAGTAGCAGGAATGGAGGGTAATCTTCCTCTCTTTTCGCTCTATTTTCCGTATCTGAAACACCTGGTTCTCTAGCCTTCCTACTCACCATAAATAAGAGTGCGGGGAATTTCACAAAGAGCGCCACGCATGCCCCACCAGCCGCCATTTTGAAAACCTTGAAACGCTTGGGTACGAGGTTTGTGACGGACGCGCGCGTCGCCAAAAGGCGCGAAATATAACGTAGGTCAACGAGTACAGCAGGCATAAGGTCACGCTCATTTCTTTTCACAATTTTTCTGTCCAGAAAATATGAATATTTAGACGCATTTTAACCTAAGTAGCAATTCTTTATAGCTGTCTTAAGTAGAGGAATCCTCTGAAGAACATTTTAAGAACAACTAACTTGTTAGTGAAATAATTTTTCACCAATGAGTAATCGACCCAACAGTAACCTAAGCGGTAAGTTAAAGCCTTTTAAATTGTTACAACTTTTTCGTTTAACTCAGTCAGCGTCGTTAGAATGTAACCTTTTTGATAAGCTACTTAAACAGTGGATAATTTATGAAGACAGCTCAATGGTTAAAACTTTGTCATCTACAGGGCGAATAGTACCAATGTTCGCTTTAAATAACAGGAAGAAAAGATTAAGGCAGGCCTTGTACGCGAACCCAACAACAGACAGCTTTGAAGACTCTTCAGCCTTCACGTTAAACAATGCTGGAGAGGGATGTTTTGATGCTAGTGAAGTAGCGATACCACAGAAACGTTTTCAGCGACTTCAACCGCCAAATTCCTCAAACAATGAGAAAAATGTCAACGGCACTTCCTCTTTCTTGCGACAAAACCAGGAGTCAATTTGTGGAAGTGGTAGGAGTGGAAGCTCTTTGCCATGCAGTGGGCGTTATTATGGCACTAATCAAATTGGAGCACAACTTCGCCAGCCGATAAAACAACAAACCCATTCCTTTCTCATCAATAGTATGGATTCACCACCAACCAATTATCCGTCCAGTAACAAGTTTGTTTTCTAGTTTTCACTTTTTTGTTTTCGTAAAAAAAAAGCTTTAATTAAAAAATTTTTCAATTGACAAGTTTCATTCTTCGTAGGCAGCCAGAATTTCAAATTAAAATTTGAATTTATCATCATTTTCTGTATTTACAGGACTCTGCAACACCAGCCAGTCACAGGTTTTCAAGGCTCTGGTATAAAAGTTGAGAAACAAGATATGACCAGACAAAGAAAACCAGGCCAACAGGATCAGAATTTTCAGTCCAAGGTAGAGCAATATTGAGTCTACCTCAGGTTTAGTTTAGATGGTGGCTTTGCAGTATTTCCGCAAGTGGAAAAAAGATTTCCACATTAAAAAATACATCCAAATGTCAAATTGAGCACAAAGAGTTGTGCTCAAGGATAACTACTATTTTAAAGTACTAGATTTTGGAGTGAAATATCTGCAAAAATAAGTGATTGATATGAGAGCTACCATTTATAACTCACCTCAAACATTACAGCCTCTTACTGTCTCATTTGCCTTCCTCTTCTTTGCTTTCTCAGTGATTAGACTATACATCTTTCTGGGTAACCCTTTTCTTGAGTGCCTTTTCTTGAAAAAGGGTTCCCTTCAATTAAAGAAAGAGCCAAGTGGGTCCTCTTTAATTATTTTCAAATAAATATGAGTCAATTTAGTGAAAATAAGTACTTGTTAATTTTTCAAAGACTACAAATTTCACTCTAAAGGCTCATGCAATTTTGTTGTCTTTGAAAAATTTACTCTTACTTATTGACACCACATTGCACTTGAAATCATGTTTTTAACATACAAAGCTCAGGGGCTTTGTGACCATGTGTTTTAGGGTCTCCAGAGAACAGTAAGCTTAACAAACTAGCTGAAAACTATAATCCAGATCCTGAAGGGCCCTCCACTGAGCTGTTTAGAAATTTGTTTTTCCTAAAACAATGCTCATAAATTCACAAATTACAGGAATGGTCCGGTAAACAAATGAATCTCATGGCCACTCCAACAGACAAGTCTCTCAAGTTTTTAACAGCCACAGTTCAAAGTGTTCTTAAGTGGAAACAGTATGAAGACATGGTCACTTCAATTTATGAAGTATTTGGTGAGAAATTTACCTCCTTTACTAGTTTAGACTTTTCACTGTCCTTCTTCTATAGTGTCATTATGCATGAGTATCTAAATTTGCTCTTAACGGAAAGGTAGACTAATCCTTTAAATTCTACTAACTAAAAATAAACAAATATATCCTTAGGAACACTGGACTCACAAGTTTCCTTGAATGCAGCTGGTAATGGAAAAAATTTTGTCATCAAAGACAAAACTGGAGTTCTGAGGTAATTTACAATGTCAAGTACAACTTGAAAATTACATGTCAAGGGTCTTTTGATTTGCTTGAAACCCATTATTGACTATATCAGTTTTCTCCCAATGCTTAGGTGCACTTTTTGGGAAATGGTAAGCATGTCTCAATTATATACCCAATTCTTTAAAGTAATGCCTGATATAATATTTTTAAATTAAAGGGAATTTTCAATGAGAACAGTGGTGTTAATTTCTTTTTTAAGGATCGCCAACTTCCAAGATTGACAAGAGGGAAGATGCACAGGTGATTAAGTCAGTCTGTTTAATAGTGTTCAATTAATCAAGATCAAAGCATAATTTTAAAAAATCCATCTGCTCTTCTGAATTCTAAAGGTTAAGATAACCTTAAGTAACAATAACAATGACAAAGGTGTAAAAAAGTTTTATGTTTTAGGATTTCCCCTAATTAAACTTCATGAATTATTAGAGACCTTGAGAAATATATGTTGTTCATACTGTACATATTGACAAATACATATTTTTGAAAGGTGTGTGGGATTCTTGGACAAAAATGGTGGAACTTTTAATTGTGTGTCCATCAGACCAAGTAAGCAGACAGAACTGCTGGTTATGGTAGACTTCTTAAAAGCGTCAGAGTTGGCTATGCAACAACAGCTAGCAACCTTCAAGGAAGACTAACATTTGGAAAAATTAAGTATTCAGGTCAAATAAGTTTTATTAACTGAATTTCTTAAAAAATAATGAATACTCTTTACAACAGGCTGACAAGTTGCCACTAATCAAAACATGAACTACAGCAATGTCATGTTCAATACATATGAGATGTTGTCTGACCAATGATGTGCATTTTTACTCCTATTGCTACTTACAATATTAATACCCTCATTATGACCATGAAATAAAAGAGGAAAATATTTTGTACTGCACAGTGTCAGATAACTGTGAAAATGTCTATACAGCTTTGCAGTAAACAAGAAGTATCTTCAAATTTGTGTCTGTACCAGTTATCCATCCCACAACTGTTGATTACACTTTCACAAAGACACATCTAGTAGAGTTTACCAGCCATATCCAACTCTGATCAGGCTCTTTACTGGTTGGTTCTGTCCCTAGTTTTGTAAGTAACACCTCTAGCCTTGAGTTCCCGTACTACATGACCTGGCAGTTTACCACTCACGGATATTGCATAGCACCCTCTTACTAATGTATCTAGAAAAAAGTAACAAATGTCATTGCATGGTCATCATTATTATTGCCACCATATAGTCAAATAGTAAATAAATTTGAGTAACATTCTGAAATAATACATAGTAGATGATAGAGTTATTTTAGGGAATAAACAATCACTCATTTTATGGTTGCACATTTAGTGCAGATGAATCACATTAATGTGTTTCTTATCTATTATTATGACATTTACTATATTTGAATATACATATCTAGTGAATTGGCTCACCAATTCGTTGCCATCTTGCCACCCAGCTGTCTTCTGGTGTCATAAGGGATATAATTCTGTCAGAAGATTAACAAAAACAATCATGCATAATAATAGTATTTTGTTATTTGAGTTGTCCTTATCAAACGCCACTAAAAGGGTACTTTTTTCTGGACAAATGAAACTGAACATGTCACATAGGGAAAGTACTACAATCTAAAAAGATGTATATAACTTCTTTGAAATATATCCAAGACATAAGTTGTCAATTATGAGCCAGGTGGTTGATACATGTTCTTCACTAGTAAGAAGGGAAAGAGAAAAGAAGTATTCTCAGTAATAAATGGGCAACTCAATCTAACTTTCCATTAGACTTGCATGAATAAAAAAATTTTGAACCAAACTAAGCCCCACCATGAAATTTAAATGTCTGTAAGGTTTTGGTGAAGCAATTTCTCCTAGTCTTCAACATGTGAGCAATGAAACGTTTATTGAGAGCGACCAATGGTTAAAAAACAAAGGTTTGTATACTTGAATGGAGGAGTTATTAGTTATTACCCATCAAAGTTTGCACTTGTACAAGTAAGGATATTTTCTTTGTTGTTCTTTAGTCTGAGATATTTTTCACAATTGTCACAGCCATCGTATTCAAACTGCTCTAAGGTCTGAAAGAAACAGATTGAAAGTAAATGCAAAGTTAGACCAGGTGCTAGGTTTAACTTGTTTGACATTTTCAACATATAGACATTACATTGATCAATCTGAAGATACTTAAAAGTTACTACATACTGAGCGATAACACTGATATTAAAAGGCTAAAATAAGGAACGATAGAAGGCTTTTGGGCCGCTCTCGACCAGTACTAATGAATAGTGGTTTTTGGCATAAAGGTTAAGATGGTTTCGATTGGGAAGTTTTAACCTCCACCTCATGACTCGTGCTTTAAAAGTTTTTCGATACCCGTAATGCTCAGTTTTTCGACAATTCTGTAAATAATGACCATAGTTCATGTATATAATTTCTTACCTTTACTAAAGAACACAGGAGACATGCTCGAAGATTTCTCAACTCCTTTGGAACGCTCTCCATCTTGTATTTGAAATTTTCGTTCCCAGATCTCTTTAGGCGCTCCAGTCTCTCCGCGTTATTCTATTCTATTCATAGAAGCGTTACTCTATAGCTTCTAGTCATACATACACATTCATTTAAATAACTTTAGCTAGACTTGAATATGGCTCGTCGTGAGGAGATTTATGACGTCTGTGTGGTGGGGGCCGGTATAGAGGGAAGTTCAACAGCTCGATACCTTGCTTCGCGGAAGAAAAAGACTCTCCTCTTAGAACAGGTACATGCAAATGTTTTTCTAAAATTTCTCTATCGTACCGAAGACGATCGGACAAATTTGATTTTAATTCAATTAGAATTAACATATTAAAAACAACATCACTAATGATTTGTTTACAAGTAGTAAGATTCTTATAATATCTGATGATTTTTACAATTGGCAAGAGATCTCAGATTCTTACAATAATGGCAAGAGATCTCAGATTTCTATAGTTGGCAAGAGATCTAATTAATTGAAATTTAATTTACTTTGAAGTTTTCAGCTCTACGGTTAAGTAATCACTATTTCTGATTCTAAAAAGTATATAGGCGATAAAAAGTCACAAGACAGTTATGTCATAAATGTTTAACCGCCAAATAAATCACCCTGATTGGAGTTTCCATCTTGCTTTTCCGGGTAATATTTCCTATTAATCCCATACTTTCCTAAGACAAAGCTGTAGTCCCAAATAAAATATCTTGTTTTGCCATTGTTTCTCTCTACCAAATGCTCTACGTGAAAGTAATCACTATTTCTGATTCTAAAACATATATATGCAATTACAAGTCACAAGATAGCTATCTCATAAATGTTTAAATGCCAAATAAATCACCCTGGTTTGAGTTTTCCATCTTGCTTTCCCAGGGAATATTTCCTTGTAATCCCATACTTTTGTAAAACAAAGCTGTAGTCCCAAATAAAATGTCTTGTTTTGCCATTGTTTTCTCTCTGCTAAATACTGTATGCATGATGAAGTATGGGGTCATGTGGAAATCTTGTTCATTTCCTTTTCTGTTCTTGATTTGTCTCTTATCATATATGCAACACTCCTAAAGTCAGGAGACCTTTTCACTTATATTAGTTTGATAAGTTCTTATATCCTTGTCATATAGTAGCATTATGCTTCTGCAATGAAAGGTTAAGAGCTTTTTCTCTTATTTCAACATCTTTCTTTTTAACAACAAATACATCACAAAAAGTAGACAAGGTGCCAGATTTTCTCTGCACATAAACAGTATTTAACTTTCATATATTTTTGGAAGCTTCCTTAAGCCTGGGTGGTAGAAGAAGGCCTCTTTTGTCATCTTATCTAAGATCTTTTAAGTCTGTGTAGGACTTAAAATGGGGAGACAGTACCACCATTATCTACCATTAAGTATACATAAATATAAAGTTAATAAAGAACTGTTCACTTTTATCAGTTTCCTCTTCCCCATGCACGTGGTAGCTCACATGGTCATAGCAGGATTGTTCGCTATGGTTATCCAGAGGATTTTCATGTAGCATTGATGCCAGAGGCCTTTGAAATATGGAGTGAGGTTGAAAAGAAATATGGAAAACCCCTTATCAAGTTTGTATCTTGTTGTTTTCTAAGTTGTCTCTAAATATACATGATTTCAAATGCTTTTAAATGAAAAGAAAAGTCAGCTAGAGTATGGATTTCATGGCCTCAGTTTTAGTGAACAAAAACTTGTGCTAGTGGCTGGTCTAATAGCATGTTGTGGTAATATATAGATTTAGCCAAGCCTAAAAGTGGAGCTTGCATTTTTTTTCCCCTGCACATCTCAAAGGCACAACACCTTGCCCCAGCCAGGACTAGAACCCGGGTTGTCCAACTCGGAGCCCAGTGCACTGACCACCAGACTACTGAACAAAGCCATGGCATTGGTGTGCCCGTGGTACAGTTGACCATGCATGTTAAAAGTAGCACCTTGTACGGTCATATGGTCGTACGGCCGTACATCCAAATTTTTTCGGCCTGATGAGTTACTACTATTTTGTATAATTATGGGGCTATGCTCTACGAGCTCCGCTAATATTGTGTTAGAATATTCTTTATCTATCATTTTTTGGTAGATCGCTTTCTTTTGTCTCTCACTTGGGATTTTAATGTCAAATAAATGCATATGTAGTCAATATGCAAAAACCTATCCAATAGACCATTTTATGTTAAATTGATTTACCGGAAAGTAAGGAATCCTAAATCATCTTGAATCAAGCCATTTTAATATTTTTCCTTTGCAAATGAAGTGTCTGTAATATACCCAAGTTATCTCAAAAACCAGGTTATTTGTCCCTCAAATTACCTACCTCATGCTTTGGCTTTGGTTGATGCAGCTGTTTCATCAGTACAGAAGGTTTGTCTGAAAAAAAGAGTAATAGTGTTCACACAAACCTCAAAATGTATTGTGGGTAGTTTTCAGGTCAGAATTACCTCAGTCACAGTTCCTTGACCTCAAGATTTCAGAGAAATCTGAGAAAATGCCACTGCAAAGACAGGGCATAGTGTGTTTGATTAATTAATTTACTTAATATTTTAGGCATGAAAACTCATTGATTACCAGGTACTCAGTTTACATTTTCGAGATTGTTGTCTCAACTTTTGTCCTTTTTTCTGACAACCTTAATCAAAACAGCTGCCTACAGACCTACTATTACAGTCAGGTCAAGCTTGTTACTAGTTCTCATCTCAGCAATGAATTGTTTTCCTCCTTTGACACTCCAACATCTAATTTGCTATGGAATCATCTGATGGAAAACAGTATCCACTGAATGAGATACTGCTGACTTGGTTGGTTGGTTGAATTGTTTATTTATTTATCTATTCAAATGATTAGAGGCACATTGGCCTCATGGTTAGTACACTCAACTCTGGATTGAGTGGTCTGGGTTCAAGCCCTGGCCGGGGTCATTGTGTTGTGTTCTTAGGCAAGACACTTTACTCTCACAGTGCTTCTCTTCACCCAGGTGTACAAATGGGTACCAGCAAATATGTTGGGGGTAACTCTGCGATGGACTAGCATCCCATCCAGGAGGGAATAGCAATACTCTTAGCTATTTCGTGCTAAAGGAAACTGGAGTTAAGTGCCAGCCCCATGGACCCCTTGGGCCTGTGTAAAGGCTTTTTTTTAAAATGGTTGCTAATTTTGTTATTTTCTTTTTTCAGAAAGTGTGGTTTGTTAACGATAGATGAACCTCCCTATGCAGATGTAGCACAAGTAATTACCAACGTACGAGGCGTAGGGAAAGAATGTATTCCTCTTTCAGCTGAAGAAAGCAACAAGAGATTTCCTGGTTTAAATTTCTCACCAGATGATTCTTGTGCTCTGGAGCAGGACAGTGGATTAATTGATGCCAATAGTGCACTTAAAGCGATGCAGGTGGGTATTGGATTACCTCTTTATACTTAAAATATTAAATGAAAATCTTTTCTGATCCAGATATTTTGGAGACTGTTAACATCATGGTTATAGAATCTTACTCCATGTAAAAATAAAGAACCAGACTTATGAATGTAGTTGTCAGTAGGGCTTCAAGACATGGCTGTTCCTTCTGGGTTTTCTTACTATGCATGCTAGTTTCAAGGGAGGTAGTGCATTCAAGTAGTTAGGACACTGGACTTGTAATCTGGTGGTCCTGGGTTCAAGCTATCTACCCTGCTGCTCGCTGAATTTGTTCTCATTTGCTCGAGTTTAACTCCTTTGCTGTGCTTCCTGTCATTTGAGATTTTTTAACAAGACCATGTTTATTCATTCATTCATTTATTCATTTGTATTGGCCCTGAAAAGTTCCATTTTTGGAGAGGTTAATTACATGCACCTGTCATGCTGTGTTAAAAAGCTTAAGAAAAATTGATTCCTTTAGATAGTACCTCAATCCCTTAAAACACAGAGAACCAGACTTGCCTAAACTTTTTCATGTCAGCAGCTGTTGCATTGAAATAAAAAATAAACATAAAACATGTCGGCTATAATTAAAACTAAGTGATCACAAAGCAAATCACGCAGATGTCGTTAACTGAGATGAATTAACATGTAAAATAATTAACTCCCTCTTGGGAAACATGCAACCAAAAAGTAGGTTATGAATAAACATATTCATTAAGTCCAATTTACTCAGTTGTTATTGGTGGTTTAATTGAAAGTAACAACAAATCACAGATAAGTTGAATTTAATGTAAATAAATAGAACCATGCGTGACATAACAAAACATTCACCTGAGTTCAGAATCCTGTCTCAAACAATCGCTCTCTTTCAAAGTTATCGTAATCGATCATCATGCCGAAAGTTCCCACGTTCTTCATACAACTTAGCGTTCAAACTAAAAGTGTGCTGATACCCATCGAGAACAACTCTCATTTCGTAGAGATTACGGAATCAGTGAATCGATGGTGGGCTGTATTTAACTTTACAGCCTGCTATATTTAAATTTAAAGGTTTGTTTGAATTGGAATTTTTTCCCCCTATATGAACCTAGATGAATAATAAATATCTCACTAACCCTGATTTTCTTAGTCCTTACTTTAAGTTATAGAACTTTGAATTTTCTGCTTGGGTTTGTGGCCCATGCCTAGCACTTGGGCCATAAATCCCTGTTGAAAAAAATATGGTATGTAAACTGCAGTACGAAACAAGAAAATGAGGTCATTAACAGGTGTATACTCCTTGCTATGGGCATTGAGTGTGTTGCCCACAAACATAGGATATTTATTTGACCACAATTCAAACCAGACTCCTCCATTTGCTGTCCAGTTAGGTAACCATACTTCACTACATCTCCCACATGTTAGTTATAAAGGAGATTAATTGTTCAGATAAATGGCTTTGGTTCATGTTTCTATCAATTGTTTTTAACATGGCTTGCTCATTTTATTATTTTGCAAGGAACAATTTGTGGAATTTGGTGGAATTTTGCATGACAGGGAGAAAGTATTAGATATTGAGCCAGGCACTGTGGTCAGCATTAAAACGGTCAACAACACATACAAGGCAAGAAGTGTTGTCATCACTGTTGGTAAGATACATTCTGGAAGATTTCTATTATGAAAAATATTTTTAAACCTTCTTTTCAAACTTTCTGCAGTGTTGAAAATGTTAGCTATCTCACTTTAAAGTTGTGATTATTTTGGTTTGGTTCACAATGTGTATCTGCAGGTCCTTGGGTGAACAAGGTGCTAAATCCTCTTGGTGTTACAATACCCCTGAGTGTAAGTTTGTGACAACAGTTTTGCTTTATGAGAGGTTATATACTTGGTTTGCTATTAAGGTCTATTTCAAAGCATTCAAATCAAAGAAGGAACTGATTAGGACCCGAGAGCAAGCATTGAGAGAAACGGCTTCTCTGGTTATGATTCCCCCAAAAATACATAAAGAAGGTCCTATTGTGCAGGGGCGAAGCCAGGAATATTTGGTAGGATGGGTCCCCACTTTGATTCAGGAAAGACAGGACTTGTTTTGCTGCAAGAAATATTACAAGATATGTAAATATTAGAGACTTAATGTTGAGCCATTACATGCAATCCTGTTGTTCCAAGAATGTTTGTGTCCACAAGTAGTAAAAACTCCGAGTCACAGTTTTGTTGGGGTGGAGGGGGGATCTGGACCCCATGAACTCTCCCCCTGGATCCACCATTGTTGTGTAATTCCTAACTGTGTAAACAATTTCAATAAGAGATGTAAAAAAAACATAAGTAGTCAGGCTGCTAACCAAGATTTAAGATGACAACATTAACAACTCTTTCTGTGTTCTTATTGCTAAAAAGACTAACATGTCTGCACTGCCTCAAGAAAAAAAACTAAAAAACTAATGTGCTTAATATACTAAACTAATTTGTTTCATTAACATTTTCTTCTCCTAAAATTTAGGAGAAGAAAATGCACTTGCCATCTCTATAATGAACCCTTTCTTGTGTCCCCAATGAAGCCATGGTAGAAAAGTTTAACTGTAGTTGTTGATTGTTCTTTTTGTACAATGTTTTAGATACAGAGAATGAGTGTTTGTTACTGGCCAGTAACTGAACCCCATCTCTACTCTGCTGACAAGTTTCCTGCCTACATATTTTGTGCTCCACTGGGATGTAGAAAAACCCATGTTTATGGGTTTCCAATAAATGAGTATCCTGGGCTAATTAAGGTAAATTTTCACCAGTTATAAAAGGGTTTTTGTGTGTTCCTATTATTCCAGGAGCTGTGATGTTTTGTTTTTACCAGTTTGGTTTCATCTGTGATCAAACACTATGAAATTTAAAGTTGAAACAAATAATTACTAAAGAGTGGTATCAGCAATGTCACACAATGTCAGAAGGATTAGGAATTTACTTAGTTACTTCTTGTTACATAGCTTTTTATGGACTGGCATGCCATCCATGAAGAGTAGCCATACAAATTACCCCTCATTAGTCTCTTCACACTGTGGTAACTGCAGCTAAATGAGCCACTTGGCTTGAGTGCAAACCTCTGTAAATCTGCAGGCCATTTGATGTGGAGGCAATCATATCTGCCCACTGGATTGTACAAACCTTTTAAAGTTTATTTAAAATAAATCTGTTTTTGATATCTGTAGATTTGTCCTCATAAAGGTACAGATATACCCAGTGCTGACCACAGAGATTCTTGCACACCACAAGAGGACCCCAATGTTCAATTTACAGCTGAAGTTATTAAGGCTCGTTTTCCTGGTGTGAAGCCAGAACCAAGTATTGTGGAGTCATGTATTTATTCAGTGAGTTTATCACCTGAAAGTAATCTTTGTTGTAATTCCAGATCCAGGGATGTAGTTAGGGGATGATCCAGGGATGTAGTTAGGGGATGATCCAGGGATGTAGTTAGGGGGTACAGGGGTGCCTGTTTTTGCCCCTCCCATGCTGAGGTTATCTATTTTACTCAGTAGCATACAAATCTTAAACTTCAGGTTTCTGAAAATTACTAGAATCCCAAGATTTTATGTGGCATTAATCCTTTCCAGTGGCAGATACTCCCTTTGTCAATCCTTCACCCCAGATGAATATGAGCCTGCTGATACACAAGGAAGTGCAGTGGTATAAGCCACTTTATTTAAAACCTTGGCCCCCCCTCCCTCCCCATCCCCTCACCTTAACAACTAAGCTATGTCTTAAAATCTCCAACCTGCATTTTTCTTTTTGCTGTTTGAAGGTTACTCCTGATAGTCTGTTTGTGATGGACAAGCACCCAGAATTTAGGAATATTGTAATTGGTGCAGGCTTTTCAGGTAACATAGAAGGAACAAATGGTTATTTCATTTACATGTGTTTTAGAGCAGTAGTGTGGTTGTTCATAAGAGACAATTGCATACATGTGATCACAGTCAATCAGTGGCAAACTCAAAATAAACTCAACAATGAAGGCATAGGCTTAGACAGGATTTTCATCTGTCTTTTCATCTTCAAGAGTGACCAAAAGAGAATTTCTCCACAAAATGTTAAAATACTTTCAAGTAGAAGGTTGGTAAAAGGAAAGGAAAAAATAATCAGGGGGATATTTGATTTATCACCAAATATTTAGAGCTACAATCATGAGAAATGTATGTTGGACTATGTGGAAAATTTATACGTTGATTTAAGAAATGAAAAGGTGAGGAGTTTCTTCTCTACAACCATTAATCTTATTACAAAGTTGGAAGCGCTCATCGGCAATATGAAGCTAATTCTGCGTTCTGATTGGGCGATGTTCGCTTTGATCCCGCGCATGAATTAAAGTGCGTGGAGCGGACTTACAAAGTACGTAACTTTTGGACCATTTCGGCGATGAAGTCGCAAAAAGCAGCAGGACACAGTCAAAACAAAGAAAACGAGGGGTTATTGTGCTACAAGCACAAGTGGCTCTCTTTCCCGGCTCTCGAAATAAACAAGTCATTCTTGATTCTCATTAAAGCGAAATATTTTTACTGTATGATAAATCCTTTATTGACCAAGCTTGTTCCTTCAAGATGGCAGGATATTAGCCTCGTTTATGTGTTTTTTCGTTTTTATGGACCTCGACTTCGTCGTGCAAAAAAAGAACTTGGCCAGCATCCAGCCACCTTGACTTCACGCTAGGTCAACAACGCATTTTTACTGGGTTTTTAAGGGCATGCCATGTCGTTTTACTTCTGGACAAAAAGGGGTCAAATGCACACTTCGACCCCACCCTTTATGTGAATGTCCACGTGTCACCGCTTTACAGGTAGCAAAAATCCCGCGATAAGGAAATAATGTCAGCGCAAAGAAATTTGGAAAACTCTTGCTACTTAACCCCATCACAATTGGTCATGAAAGAAATGTGGGAGATTTATTTGTTGTTGTTTTATGAACAGGCTTTGTTTCCTCATTGTTCATTGTTCAATTGACAGGGCATGGTTTCAAAATGGCGCCTGTTGTTGGAAAGATCCTGTCGCAAATGGCGCTTGGTGAGAAAGTATCCTACGATGTGCTGCCTTTTAGGCTGTCCAGGTTCACAAGCTTTGGAAGAAGTAAATCTTCACTATAGAACGCTTCTCACAGCACTTTTCTTATTGGAGTGTGTGAACTGGACTGATTTCAGGCATTCCTCCAAAAAGCTGTTTTATTTTTTTAGTAACATACTTCACTTACTCTCAGTCCCATATGTAGATTGGGACCGTTACCACTTCAAATTATGCAGTCACATTTTATTCCACTCTCCCCCTTTGGGAAGTCACGCAATCCCCTTGTTTCGAGGAGGGTGTTGCGTGAAATTTCAATAACGCCTATGTAATTAGGGGCTATCCTATAGATATTCGTCATTGTTTTTTTTTTGTTTTGCTTTTTTCTTTTCTTTTATATTTTTTCTTCGTTATTCTTATTACTATTATTATTAATCGTTTTTAAACAACTAGACCGTATGCAAGGTTCATATTTTAGGTTAAATTACTCCTGGGGAATAAGATTTTTTGCGTGTTCTGGACTCGCGCAAAATGTTTAAACCTCGATCTTTTTTTAATGGACAACCGAGCGCAAATATTCACCATACTTCTTACTGTGTCCCCACAAACTGAGGAATTTTAGGAAGAACTACAAGATTTTGGTACCGATATTCTATTAATACGGTAGCTAGAAATGCAAAAAAAAAATCCGATTTATGGTTAATATATAGCAATAATAAAAACCGATTGGTTTTTTGTTCATTTGATCTATATTCATTGTCTGAGAGATAAGATACGATTAAGAAAAAAATTAATGCAAATCGCACTGTTTGGAGCCAATCAGGTTGCAGTGATCGCTGATTTGAAGATGGATGTAATAAAGTGGTATATTTATATCACGAAAAGTACTCATCGATAGAGAAGGTGGATATAACTCTGGTATATTTCAAAATAAACGAGTGTTTCCCATTATTGCTGCTGAATTGTCTTTCTCAGTGTAACCTAAAACGGTGAATTTCGTCATCGTTAAGATTATAGCCGAGCATTCTATCGGCAGTGGGTTAGAGCAAAACAAAGTGTGGAACGCTTTTGCAAGAAAAGCTTTTATTTTCATTCGATACGATTATTTACACCTTAGGGAGTTACGTTATGATTTCAGAATCTCAAAGGTTTAAGATGGTGAAATTAATTTAATTCCGTTCAAATTGGTTTACTTAAAACCCTTTCGTTTCTTTTTAATATTTCAAGCTTTAACACATTCTCATTTTAACCCTTTCACTTCCAAGATCTAATTGTTAATTCTCCTCTTTATCTGCGACACATTTCCTGGTAAATTTATGACGTGAATTTGGGGTTAGGTCTTGATATCAACCACCCGATTAGTGTGAATATTCTCATTACTTGATAATGTATGGATATTATGGGCAGAAGTTACATGTTAATCACTTAAAAAAGTTGAAGGAGTAAGACCTGTGCTCAGAATGTCGATCGTCGGACCAATCGATCATTAGTTGAGAACTCTGCACTTGTTCATAGCTTTGACTTCGTCGAAGACCTTTAGGAAATTAAAAAAAGAATAAAGTACAAGACAGAATTACCTCTTGCAGATTCCCTGAAGATTCAGGGAATTAAAACGGGTTGTGGAAACAAACACCAAAGAGTTTTATAATAGCGAGATGTGGCGCGCCGTAGTTTATAGGGACGATTTTAAACTAAAGCGCTTTTAGATCGACTGTGGTTAAAACTAAACTTCAAGTGAACTCAGCGGCCTATCATAACAAAGATACTTAAATAAATCAATGAACCAATGGGAATTTAAAGAGAACGCGTTATCGCTCTCAAGCGCGGGAAACTGCGAGCTACTAGGTTGAAATTGGTTGTAGTTTTCCTTATGATTGGTCCAGAGGTGGCACGTTTTTCTTGACCAATCACGGGGCGACTATACCTAACCTAACACTGTCAAGTTCATTCTGTATCATCTTCCTCTTCAGACAAGTCTGAATGAGTATCAGCTGTAGAACTATATTGACTTGTCATGTCACTTTCGGTCAGATCTCCACGTTTAGATGGTTCTTCTGAAGGTGTAACATTAGGATTAGAAATATCAAGGTCTTCTTCGTGAGGTGTGGGGCTCCTGGCAAATTCTGATTCATCCGCAACACTTGACTGTCGGGAGGAAAAGAAGTCTGATTCACCTTCTGTTGTGAAATTACTCTCGTCATCTGCGTACAGCGCGTCGTCTTCACTAACGCTGCGATGAAGACCATTCGCCTTTTTCAATTTCGGTATGTTTTTTGCTTTTCTTGAATTCTCGTTGAGTGAATTCTCATCCTTCTCAATTTTATCAGTCAACGTATCCCCAGGCATAAGTATCTCGACCTTTTTTAGGAGCTCTTCATTCTGTAACATGAGCTGTTTCGCTTTCTGTTGCTCCTCCATGGCGAAATTGTTCGCTATCATCACAGCGTGACGTAAGTCCTCTTGGAGGAGTTCAGAATCCCGAAGCTTTTCCTCAGTTTCATCGTTGAGTGCTTCGAGTCGGGAAATTATATCGTTCGACTGTCGGAGTTGGTCGTCGGATTTTCCGAGCAAGGCCTGTAAGGTCTTGATCCCTTCCAAGTGGCTGTCCACTTCTGCTGTTACTCTTTTGAGACTGCCATGAGACCTTTTTATTCGGGTGTCCATGACAGAATCTCTTCTTTTTAGCAAGTATCGGCGAAGTGATTCAACCTCATCTTGCAGATGTTGTTTCTCCCGGCAGACACGATCTAGGTTCGACTTCACAGTCGACGCTTGTCGCTTCAGCATACGCTCGCCGGGCGCAGGTTTCCGTGGCCTGGATTCCTTTTCTTTTCCAGCATCGTCATCTTGCAAAGTGCCTGAAATTAGAAGTATTTTGATGAGTTCTTTCTAATACAAATTGCATGATATTGAGGCTCAGGAACACTGAGCCTCAAGAGGGGGTGGGGTGGGGTGGGTGCGTTTACGAATACCCAATGCGATTGAGTCAGGCGCGCCGCAGGCAAGATCGAGAGAAAGATTAATTTTTTTCGCTGCCGGACTCGCGTAAATCTCTTTTAACCCTCGCCACAAAACCCCCAAAATCAAACAACGCCTATTTCTGTAGACTAACTTGACCTTCAAATCAAGGCAGTCCCCTAAGGGACTTACCACAGTGACAAAGGTTCTAAGCAGTGTCATCGTATAAACCAACCTCTATGGAGAACCGTGCTCCGAAAAACATATAATTTATCCCCAACATTTACATATGTATTCAATGTAGATGAACTTGTGACACTAACCGCGCTTTGGAGATGAAAATTAGGTAGTTCGGCTTTGCTCGAGGAGATTTTAAAAGTGGATTTTGTCCTTGAGACCAACAATTTCTACCTTCAGTGTGCAAGAGTTAGAGTGTCTCCGCGAAGTGTCCTCAAAAATGGGAAAAGGTGCAAATCTGAGTTCGCTTTTAAAGTATAGATGTCTGCTCAACAGAGGTTCGTTTAACCCTTTACACCCTAACATCAGTATTCACATTCTCCATACTGTTCTCGATACATTTCCTAAGGTGCTGAAAAGGAGAATTTGTATAACAATCAAGAGCTTCTATAATTGGTGATCATTTCCTTTTTTCTTGTGACCTTTTACTTGTGATTCAGGGGTGATATTGTAAGGAGAAATTAGATGCTGGTCACCCTCAGGGGTTGAAGGGTTAACAGTGGGTAGGGAACGAAAAATTTGACTCTTTTCTTGGTTACTGCTTGTTTTCAACAATAAAAAGATGTCCAGTTTGTAAATGAACGCGTGTTAATTTATTTTACCTTGGGCATTACTTTCTCCTTTGGCCAGTCGTTCCTTAAGCTTTCCGAGGTCGTTTTCAATGGCTGCCACTAAACTTGCCAGTTCTTTATCCTTAGCATTAGTTGACGTCGCATCCGGTTCCTTCTCCAAATCCGTACCACTTTCTGTAGAAGTTTGTGGAACACTAACCTTCTCCTCTTCCTCCTCATCTGACGACGATGACGCATCGGAATATTCCTCATTTGAAGTTGGTTCATTTGATTTATGTTCTTCTTGTGTAAATGACTGCGCCTGCGTGATAATTTTGTCCAGAAGAGGCTGGGGCAGAGGAGATAGCGGTGACATTGGCTCGGTGTTTCGCATTTCAAGACATTTTAAAAGCGCTAGCTTCTCGTCCTGAATTTCCCTCAGGGAATCTTTTAGATTGTCTCTATCCAGTTCAACACCTCTTAGCCGTGTTTGCAAGGAGTGTTTATCTTGCTTAGCTTTTTCGGACAAGGTAGCATGTTCTTCTTCGAGTTTATCGTAATTTTCTTTGAGTGCATCAAACTCTTCGCATAACTTATCAAGATTTGACAACAGCTCTTCTTTTTCGTCATTGGCTTCGTTCAAACTAGATTTTAACTGTCTGTTCTCAGCTTTGATTTTTTTCAGAAGCATCCAAGTTTTCTCGTTCTCATCGTCTTCGACTTCACTCTCAGTATCCTCCTCGCCCTCAGTCCTCTGCCCTGAACTAAAACTGTAATCAGACTCAGACAACGACAACTGAAATCGATACTTGAGTTGTTCTCTGCGAGAGATGGAGTCTGTATTGCGGGAGATGGAGTCTGTATTGCGAGAGATGGAGTCTGTATTGCGAGAGATGGAGTCTGTATTGCTGGAGATGGAGTCTGTATTGCTGGAGATGGAGTCTGCTTTCCGAGAATGTTCAATGACCTTTGGTTCATCTTGATTTTCATCGTCGTTACTTTCAGATTCAGAGTCACTCTCCTGTCCTTCGTTTTCTTCCTCCATCACATCATCCACCCGGTGCCCGGAATGAAGGTTTAAAATACTCATCAGTAAGGTTTGTTTCTCTTCTTGAAGTCTTCCAACTTCGTCTTCTAAATCTATGACTTTTTTCTCAGCTTCCACAAGGTTAGAACCCAGTTTCTCCAATTCTTTGCTCTGCTGATTTGTCGATTGCAAGTTCTGTACATCTTCTCTGTAACAAAGCACGTATTTAAGGTACTTCGCTTCACGTCGTAGCTCCTTCATTTCCTCCACAGCTTCATCTCGTTCGCCTTCTAGTTTTTGGAAAGAATCTTTAAACGAGTCTAAATTAGATTTTACACTTGCTAATTGCTCCTGAAGGCCAGTACACCCTGAGCAATCAGACCCTTTGCTTGGCGGAGTTAAAGGCAATTCATTGTTTGCGCGGTTCTCTTGTTGCTCAGCGCTTGTTTTTGTCGCGACGTCTTCGACTTCAGAAATTCTACTTTTTAAACACTCGACTAAGAGTTTGCTCTCCTCAAGTTCTCTTAGGAGCAAGTCTTTTGACCGAACCTCGTCACACTGTGTATCTTTATCGATAGTTTTGGTGTCATCAAATACTTGTGTTTCCTTTTCGGCTTTTTCGCTGTTTTCGTTCTGCAAACCACTGATAACCCGTTCCAAACCATCGACACAATTTCGCATGGTACCAACGAGTTCAATTCCATTTTCAACAATCTGTGACTGTAAACATTTATTTTCCTCTTTAAGCTGTAAAACAGAATCATTTAGTGACTGCAAACCTTGCAAAAGTGTTGTAATTTTTTTCTTGGATAGTCCATCTTGCAATATCAGCTTGCTATTCGAAGTAGTTAATTTTTCAATGTTTTCGATGTACTCTGTAATTGATTTCGTTTTGTCTTCGTTTTCCTGCGTCAGAGTAGATTTCAATTCTTCCAGCGCTCTTTCGTTAGCCCTTAGTTCTTTTATCTGCTCTTGGCTCGTTTCCAGAGCCATTTTCAATTTATCGCCTTCAGCCTGTAAGCCATTCATTTCCTCTTTGAGCTTTACCGAAGACGAATTTAGCGTTTCAAGTTCACGTGTTTTTTTCTCGTTTTCCTGGACAACTTCGTTGACCTGCTTTTGTAAATGAAGTTTTTCTTTTTCTAAGAGTGGTACAACAGCCAGACGATGTTCCATGCCCTGTAATTTCGTCTTCAGCTCAAGATTTTCACTCTCAAGCTCTTTAACTTTATTCTTCATTACTTCCAAGTCAGACTTAGCTTTTCCTGCTGAAAAAAAGTACGTTGGTTAAAAAAAAAAACCCTGGCATCGAATATCCTGAAAACTGTATTAACTTCTACATCACCTAGCTAGGGTTACTGTTTTACTAGTCTCATACCCAGACCTTTCACGGCCAAGCGGTTGAGAGGTCGCTACATTTCGGTTCCAGTTACACGATAGAATCTGGGTATGAGCTCATTGTTTTACATGAGCGGATTTCACGGGGGGAGGGGGGTTAGGGGTCTGCCTTCTTCCAAAACATTTGTCTGTCTATCTTCGTGTTTATGTCTCTGGAGTCAGTCTTGCTTCTCTATTTGTTTACATCCTTGCCTTCTCTGCCTGCTTGTCTGCCTGTCTGACTACGGTCTGCTTGTCTGCCTGTTTAAAAACCTTTGAGTTTCTGTTTAATTGTATGTTTTATCGCAAATACCTGTTGTGTGCACATCACTCGCGGCAGCTCCGGTAGATTTCTTTTTTGCCTGCATTCTGCAAGACCAAAGCAAACAATAAATTCAGCGAGTGAAACTTTGTAACGTTTCGTTATTAAAAATTACATTTGATACAGTAACGACCAAGTAAGTAAATGTTCACGACTCAAGTCAGGCAGCCAGCGTAGCGATCAGGGGCTTGCTTCTCGAAAGTCCCGGTAACTTAACGGACCCAAATCCATCTCTTAAAATCAAAATGTAAAGAATAGAGGTCAGGTTCTGATACCCTGACATATTCATTTTGTTTTTTTCAGCTGATAACTTTATTGCATAATATTCAAATCTTTTGAAAGCCCGCCGGATCTTTAATGCAAACAGAACAGCTTTACAGGCTGCTAAAGTTACCGGGACCTTCGAGAAACGGGCCCCAGGCCTTGTAGAGCAAAGGGAGGCGGGATAATGGGTTTAACCAGCTCTTCCAGCCGAATTATTCACCGAATATATTAGTTTTCAGTTAAGTGTTGAAAATAATCCGGGATTGTAATGTTTCAGGTTAATTTCGCTTTGTGATCGGCTCAAAAAGTTAACTCACTTTTCGCCAATCAGAGGATCTGAATGAGGTCTGCCGTGACTTTCTAGCTTTTTCAGCTCGGTTGTTTTGCGACCCCCGGCCTTTGTGGCATCTTTCGGTGTCAAGTGTCGCCTCATCGCTTTTGGAGAGGAAGCAGGACTGACAGATTTTGGAGTTCCTGTGGGACTGGACTGGGCACTCGAGGAAAATGGAGTTAATTTTGTTTTTTCCCCTGCAGTGAAGGACCTTGCTCTTGGCTTACCTACAATGATCAAGAAGAACTTAGTTAATATCATCCCATTTACACATAATACTTCCAAAAATTAAATATCAGTGAAACTTATAATATGCAATGCGGGGCAGTAATTTCATTGTTTCTTCCATCTTGTGTTGTTACAAGAGTTTACCATGTTGCAGGTTCCAATTCGCCTTTACGACAAGACAACCTTTACGGGCAGCCGTAGAATAATTTTAACTCAGTATATTGACATATAGTGTGATGGTTAATCGGTAACAACTACCCCCCTCCCACCCTCCCTCTCATTTTAAATAGTTGATCCGCCCCTGAACAGGAAGATGCAGTAAACGTACTCACTGAAATCATCGATAACCTAATTAATAAACCTCCGAATTTTTCGTCTATCCTTCGACTTAAAGGTTTGGAATACAAAGGAGCCTAATTTTCGTCACAAACACTAAAAACCATGAACATATCCATCCAAGAGGGAAATCTAATTTTTATTTAAGCGTAAGAAAAAAATTGTCTTAGATCTTTGTATATTTGGTAAAGCAGAAGTTGTGTTTTATTCTTAGTTTTGTTACAAAAACAACATTGATATCAATTAAAAGATTTCATTGTCTCTTTGGTAAACAGACTCCGTCGGAGTTAATTCTCAAATCCCCTCACAATGGTTACGACTTGTCAAACACTAATAAATATAATGTATATGTTCGGGCTCAAATTTTTTTTTGATTGAAAAATTTTCAAACTAGTTTGAATTTGTTATTTATTTCAAATCACTTGCCAGGATCTCCGATGAAAAAAGAAACAGAAGATCTACCGGCTTGAGAATTTTTAAACCATGAAGGGGAAATTTGAACCGCATCATATACCGGACATCCTTCAATCAGCAGACAGTCTACATTAAAATTGAATGGTGCAATATTTCTCCGTGTTTGGTGCTCAGAAAATGCGTTTGTAGAGTTCCTAAGACAATACAGTTAAGTTTAGTGAAAGGAAATTGTCCGTTATAATAAAATGAATGGTATTCTTCAGTTTTGAATGACAGGAATGGTATTAAATTTGACGTAAGGGAAGCAAATAGAGAAGCAAACCAAAGCAAAACGGCATTTATTACATGAATAAACAGTAAATAGAAATGAGGGCCAATGATATACCGGTTAATGAAAAAACTGACCCTAACATTCCGAACATTATCGGATATGCCAAGGAAAATTATCTTCCAATCGTGTGACCCGAGGGTGCCATCTCTGTACGCCATATTACAATAATTTGTTTCATTATTTTGTTCAATTAAAGACTGGATGAGTGATTGAATGGTTTCCCTCAAATTTAAAGCCATTCATTACCCCCGTAACACCAAAACAAATATGAATCTAATCCACATAGTTCTGTCCATAACCTTTCAATGTACTAAATCAACACAGAAAAACATACCATACATGTAGATATCAGCCCTCTGATCATGCAACGAATGTAGAGTAAATCCAACACGATGTCGCTACGTTATCACTGGCTTAATCGTGACGCAAGTCACTCGCGAAGCGAAAATTAGCAAATTTCTGCCCAATTTGCAACAGCAAATAGCACTGAGCTCAAGGAAACTGAAAGGCAGACTCCAGACTGGCAGAAAGCCCAGCGGATTGAGTATTAATTTACAGACTATAAAAAAACATGAGTTTGTCTTGATTTCACGCGCTATTGACGTCAGAATGAGGAATATGTCAAAAATGTACTTTTGATAAAATATACTTTCACGTTTAAACATTGCTTCAAAGTACAAAGTAATAACCCTAAAAACTCCTGAATTTTAAGCAAAATTGATAGCGACTCTACCACTCCCATCAGACAGTCTATTAGAAGAATTATCTTTAAAAATATAATTGGCTATGCATGACATCACTCTATCATAGCTCTGTTTAAGAACTTAGACCTTTACATACGGGCTCCTCTGACGGTTAAGCTGGCACAAAATAATTCTGTTGCGTGTTTGAAAGGGATTTAGAACCAAAAAGGTCGACTTGGTCGCCATTTTGTGGTCATTTCTGCAAAATGTAATTCGCCACGAATCAAGCAGGCGTTGAACTAATGGCTAGAAGAGCCTTTAGGACTCAAAAGTTAAGAATTGGTATGGATGACGAAAGATTTAGGAACGTCTAAGTATTTATCAGAGTCGGAATGTGGTAGAAGATGATCGCCGATCGGTCAGACTAACATAGGGACATTTTAGCCTTTTAACATTCAAATTAACACATTACCTCCAAACGGTACTTTCAGAGCCGTCGAACTCGCAGCTTTGCCTGTAGGGTTTTTATGCTTACTTGCTTCTTTGCCCATGATCTTTGGAGAATGTGCCTTAGCGAGTACTTGTTTATTATCTTTGATGTGATGATCTGAGGAATAGAATTTAAATGGTTGAGACACACTTTAGATCCTTTCTCGTGGAAGACCGCCTCTTAACAAACTTCTTCACCTTCTTTAGAGCCACAGGTCACAACAACAGGTTGTGCGCGCTTTTATCGCTATCGGTGAACATATTTCTGTTTCGTTGGTTTTTTTTATCAGGCTTCGGTCCGTAAATGGGAATCACTCTGAATACTGTCACGCGATGTGATGCTATTTACTAGCGTTGGCAGCTAAATACTGCTAATCCTTTCCTGGTTTATGTATTGGAAGCATAAGGAACACATTTGATTATTCACGAAAACTAATAAATGCACAATGAAAGATCATTAATACTGATCATTATTCAAATACTACAATTTTTTTCGGCGCGGTCGACTGATTTCGGAGCCATGGTGATATTGTAATAATTAACAAATTTACGTTCATACATTAACGCAGATTTCAACAAGCACGTACTAAGTTAACTGATATTGTCATCATAAAAAAAAAAAAATGGACTTTCACCGATCAAAAATTATCTTCGCATCTTAGACCAACAACACTTCATGAAGAAAATCAAAATGCCAAGTCATTCTAACTTTACGGAAAAGTTAAAATGTATAACATGTAATTTAAGGTTTCCGCATTGTAAATATTGCACTCCTCCTGGGAGTGAAAACCTCGCCAGACGAAAACTACTTTTAAATCACGGCTGGCTATGTCATATGATACATACCTTTAGAAGAAATCTTTCTTTTGCCTTGTGAGGGAGAGGGCGGAGAGGAAATCGCACGTGGTTTGTTCACAACTCCTGCATCCGCCATGTCTCGAGACACACCCTTGCCATCATCCGGAGTTAACAACGAGGTGTTTCCCTTCGGAAGTGATGACTGAGAGGGCGACATTTTATTCATAGCAGAGAAAGAGTCGCCCTCTGTTTGTTGTGCCGTTGTGCTTGATTTAACTACGTGCTGGGGATTAGGGCTCGTTGTCAAATTCGATTCCTTAATCATGGAAATTGAAACTTCGCGAGTATCTGCTTCTGCGGTGGAATCTCTAGGTGAGGAACTTGGCAGAGACTTTTTGTTCGCAAATGGCGAGATAGGAACACTTTCGCCGTTTTCATTTACCTGAAATGGAACGCAGACCGAAACAGAAGAGGCCCACGCATCTGATTGCTGCTCTACTCTGGGGGACTGCTGTTGACCTTGAACTTGAAAAGGTATGGAAACCTTAACTGAGTCATTTACAGACTTTGTACTTGTGGGAGAACTGGTTGGAGAAATGTCCTTTACACTTGCGTATGATGGGGACATTGAAACAACCATGGGTTCTATGTCAGTTGCGGGCCAGGATAAGTGTTTAGGCGCAGAATGCCGTCGTTGGCAGAGTGAATGGGTATTTTTTCCCATCCAATTTTCATCAGCTTTCTGTGGTGGCCATCTCGCACAAATTTTACTCACTTTCGTGCCTCCATTTAGCTCATCTCGTTCTGCTCGTTGGTGGTTTGCCTTTTCTCCTTCAGTATTACTCGAAAGAAATTTACTCTGCAAACTGATCGATCTTGTTACAGGAACTTTGCTGGGAGTAAGCTTATTCTGATCCAATGCTGCGGGCTGATAGGTAGGCTGAGTAGTATCGCTATACCTTAGTGTCTGCGAGTTCCCGCTCCCAGTCGGTTCAAGGTCGACAATCATTGCCTCTGAGGCTACTCGCTTTGGCTCTGGCGAGAATGGTTTTGAGGTAATTACATTACCATTCTGCTCATCACGTTGGCCATCTGTTTTGTCGCCGAGGAGAAACTTCTCCTGAGTTTGACGTTTTGTCAACACTGACAAAATGGTGGATCGCGCTTTTTTCTTTATGATATTTCCATTATGTGGGAAAACTGATGGCTTTGAAGGGGCTGTAAGATCAAAAGGAAAGATTAAAAAGCTTTTTAACTGTACAAATCATTTGTTGAGTTGTTTTTTATTCCCGTGCATGACGAGCTTGTCCTTAGATTGTCGTTAAACCGAAAGCAAAGTAATCACAAAAGCTAATCAGAAGATAGGAAACTAACTTTATAAGCCAATGAGAAATCAATATAAAACCGATCAAACCCACTAAAGCGCGGGAAAATGCGGGCCACCAATTCGTAATTGGTTTTAGTTTTGCATCTGATTGGTAGAAAGAGTGGCGCAAGATTTTTTTTTGACCAATCACGAGGGACATCAACAAAACAGATTACATTCGACACTAAATTAAAAATTTGCTGTTTTCACGGTGAGATAAGAGCTGTTAACAATTCTTACGCTTGTTCTTGCGTCGCTAGTAAAAACCAGGCTTTAGTTAAGAAAACATTGATGTCTTTAGTCACCTGTGACCATTTCACCGCACAGGGTGAGGTGAAATATTGCGAGACTTTAAAGCTATTTAGGTTTGTACTTTTCATTGTCAAACCCACTAAAGCGCGGGAAAATGCGGGCCACCAATTCGTAATTGGTTTTAGTTTTGCATCTGATTGGTAGAAAGAGTGGCGCAAGATTTTTTTTTGACCAATCACGAGGGACATCAACAAAACAGATTACATTCGACACTAAATTAAAAATTTGCTGTTTTCACGGTGAGATAAGAGCTGTTAACAATTCTTACGCTTGTTCTTGCGTGGCTAGTAAAACCAGGCTTTAGTTAAGAAAACATTGATGTCTTTAGTCACCTGTGACCATTTCACCGCACAGGGTGAGGTGAAATATTGCGAGACTTTAAAGCTATTTAGGTTTGTACTTTTGAGATTTAGGCTCATTTATTTTTCCGTCAAAAAAAAAAAACAAAAACAAAAAAACATATATATATATATATACGAAAAAGTGTACGTTCGCGGTAATAAATATGTCTTGGGCCCGACTCATTGTCATCTTAGCTCGTGCCGCTAGGGGAGGTTTAAAGTGACTCTGAAAAGGGCCCAAACACTAATATGTATGTATGCCAGCGAACAAAAACTGTACTTCTATCATTATCACTTTAGAGAGCATCGAGAAAATAAAAAAACAGAACAGTCTGAACAATCACAGGAGCGTGCGAGCGACCAACATCTCCATTTTTAGCGGGCAAAATGCACTACGATGTCTGACAAAGTGATCATAATATGATTTTTCTTACCTTTATCGGGCTTAGAATTAAACTGCGACTTGGTGAACATGGTAGCAAACCTCCAAGGTCACTTGACTATCAGGAAGGCTTTTCCTTGAGATACAAAGAAGAAAAGAAATTAGATTATTTTATAAAAAAAATTACTCACCAGCCTTACTGCTTATCAAAACCTTGCAAATTAGGGTAAGACGAAATTATAACTGAATTCAATCGCGCATAACATGATTTCAGTTTCGCTGTTGACTAGAAACACTAAATTTGTCCAAACTATACCCCTAGAAGCCTTTTCCTATTAAAATAACGCTGGAAGAAAATAATTTAATCCCTGAAATTATTTTCGACTGCCTTCAACAAAACTGTAACGCCAAAAGGCTCAGAAGAACCTTCTTGCTGAGTATGCAAAACAACGCAAATCAAGAAGCTGAGCATTTCTGAATTTGGCGATGTTTATGTGCATTTTTAACCCTACGTGACTGGCGGTTTTGGGAGTATTTCTTTAAACTGGGGGCATGTAAGTCGCGAAACGCGCTGCGAAGGTGCTCGTCGCTTCGAAATGTTCTTTGTTCCATTCATTAACCGCTCCGCCGCTCCAAAATTCCACAAAATCGCCAGCAACGCAAGTTCCGACAGTGTGGGTGTCAATTGCGTAATTGGGCCGAATAACATCGCACTCAAAACAACAAGTTAACACCTAAGCGCTTAAGCATATCATCCACTTCAAATTTGAAGAAAAAAAAAAAAAAAGAAAAGAGTTATGATTAAAGAGTCGAATACTATTATTAACAGACCGCATACAAATCTCTTAAGATTCTAATAATAGTTGTAAACCCCGTTCAAATTTGACATAAGGGAATGAAAGAGGCTAGATTTAGCTCTGAAAATATATGTTTACCTGTGCTGTTTCTCGGAGAAAAGTTGTAAGAAGAAAGAAACGATTTCTCTTTAATAAAACCACACAATAAATATGAACACTGGAAAATAATGACATGAAGACAATAAATTGTGTCCCAAGTTTAATTCAACGTAGTAGACTTTTCAAACGGAGCGGTAAGCAATTCAAGTGAACAGGCAAACATCTTGTTCCCGATGGACATGGCATCGAACATAGCAAGTGTCGCCTGGGCGAACTTACCGTTAAATGGCTGTAAATGGCTCCATAAATCACCTTTTTCTTGCGGACCTGAGGAAGATTGGTGTCAAGGGGAGAACAAAGAAAACTTAGAATATCAATCTTTTTAATAAAAGAGTACAAATGAGTACCTAGTAGAGAAATTTGTCGAGTTGATATTTTTCGATGAAGAGATTTATTTAAGTGCTTTTCAAGAAGATGACATTTGCGCAAATGGCTGTTGGTCGCAACCTTCGTCCAATTTTGCCAGTTTGGTCTCAAAATTATCGTAAATGATTAGGCATTATTTTGAAAGAAGCCTTCTCGTTTTTACCTGACGTGTTTGCGTTACTCATTATACCACAGATTGATGGCAATCATGGAAATTTACTTTGCAGCAATCAATTTAAGTTTGACAAGAATTGAAAAATTTGAGTTGGCACTTAGAATTTCAGGACAGCGTAAATAAAACGTGCTGTAATCTTGAGTGAGAGATTCTCGTGCGGTTTGAGTCGCGTGAAATGTTGTAGTTGTACACACATTGACTGGTACAATGTACACAATTTCATAACTTAATTCGTTCATAAACAGAACGGCTCATTTGCCTTTGACAGCATCTCTCAAATAAGTCACTGCGCCAAAATATCATCAAATATCACTGAATGGATGGATTCATCAAAACTTGGCATCAAACGAATGATTTAGTGATTTCCATCGCTTTATCGCAGCTTCATAACCTCTAAATGGCCATGCAGCCGAAAAGGTGAACTCTCATGCATTATAGAGGAATCCAAGGTCTTGAAGAGCAAATTTCTACACAGATTACAGATATAAATGTCATACTGCGAGAAACTGTTGCGAGGTGGTAGGAGTAAACAAGCGTAAAAGCATGAACTTGCTTATAATATAAGATACATTTTAAATAGATTATAGACTTAAACCAACCGCAGGGTGAAGGTAAGTGTAAAGAGGTTACATACCCCGATGGTTGAAATACAGCTCAGAAACACGATCCAAAGTGGTCTGGAGATGTAACTTTTAACGACGATCGATCAAGAAACCTGTTCGAGACTGCGTCGGATTACGCTTCAGTGCCCTCAATTGCGGTGGTTTCTTGAATTTAAATGACCTTAGGGATTGTGTTAATGTGCACTCCAAACAGAGGGCCTCAAATTGTTCAAAACCTTAGCTGGAAATTCTTAGCTATCCTATAAACTCTCTATCACATTGTCAAAGGTAATTGCAATTTTGCACACAGCGGGTATCCCTTATGACATGGAATGAAAAGAATGCAATAATATACAGACCTTCAGTGATATTGTTCACCTAAAAGAAAGCATGCATAACAGTCCAAAGTTTTCTGTCAAAACAAATTCAGTTAGGATCATTCCTACACATGAATGCAACGGTGACAAAGCTGAACATCATTCACTCATCAACATAAGCGAAGTGATTGCTGACAGTTTGAATATTTTTTTCTGGCAGATATCACTCCATTCATTTGACTTGATTCGCTTTGGAAATTTTAGGAAGCACAAAAATCACAAAAATCACTATCACGAAAAATATTATAATCATTTATTTCCCTCGGAAAAAAAAACATGGTTGATGAAATGAGGTTAATTTGTTTCTTCCCATGGAACAAGGACATTCAAGGTCTTTAAAAAAACCAGCGGATTATCTTTTACGAGACAAAGTTACGGAAATGAGGTAAATTAATCCTTTCAACACGTGAGCAGTGTGGATTGAAGGGATCTCCATTTGTGACCTTGGTCAACATGACTGGCTTGGTTTGCGCCACCTTTCCACATCACTTCGTGATCTGTAAACAGTTCATTAACTTCGAACGAGAGAGGGGTCAACGAGCGCTGGCCGTTTTGTTTGTTTTTTTTTTCAGTTTCCTTTCGGTCGTCGATCTCGTTAACTGGAGTGAAATATTTCCTATTTTAAAACGTAACTTTTTAGCGCAGGATTTAAGACAGATTTGTATCATTCACAAGACACGTAGATGTCACGTGTACACGAACCTCTTCATGGCCAAGCTGGGTCTTAGTCCTCGTCATCCTATCTCATTCGCTTTTTTTTTCATTCTCCCTTTCGTCTCTTTCATCCTTTCATACCTCAATTCCTTAATGGATCGGCACCAACACAAATGTTTGTTCATTTTCTTGATAAAAGTATAGAATATTCCCAATTATTTCTTAAAAAGCGATTCTCTCAGCTGTCTTGAAAATCCGGCCGTCAACTTGAGTTGTTTGTCAAAAAAGTGAGTTCCGAAACTTAGGCACTTGTTATTTCTAAACAAAAAAAATTAGCGTTATACTCCTCCACACAGTATCATTTTGAATACTAATTGTGAGGCTCACGAGATGTTGATTTGCATTGCAAATATATTTACTCTTATTCGATATTCATCTTTGTTATGTCAGGATCTTTGAACACACGTGGTGCTCAAAACTTCGCTAGCCAGCTCGGTTTAAAGCTTCTTGCTTTAATTTACAGTTTTTTTGTTAAACAAATCGTGGCCCAGGTGGCCTTAAATGTTTTTTTCGGTGTGCAACTGTCCCCACACAAGAGCTACAGCCAACAACGGCGAGTTAAGCTGAATGAGTCAAGTTGTGAAGCGACAGACGTTTAGTCTTCCTCGAGCTTATGTAAGTTATCCAGTTTCGCTCTTCCTCACTTCGAAATAAGTTATCAATAATCTTTTGCTTTTCTTGAGCTTCAGCTTATTCTTATTGTCGACTCTTTCTGCCTAATCTGTCCTGAAGAGGACGGAGACGAATAGCTTTCAGGCAACAACTTATTAATCCCTTTCAGTCCCAAGATCTCATCAGTAATTCTCCTTACTGTCTGCCATAAAATTTTCTACGATGTTAATTTGGGATATTTGAAATTTGATCAATTAATAATCCCCTAATTTATATTTTTTTATTCTCATCACCTATTTGCTTGATAATGTATTGATATCGTAAGGAGAAATTCTGTCTTCATCACAATATCTTAACAGTGACCAATTTACATCATCAACTCAGTTCATAAAACCAAATTGTCTTGTTATTCCCTCCATTGACACAGCACCACAGTTTCTCTAGAAACTTATCCCCCCTCCCCTTGTTTCTGCGTTTGAGATTGGTCCAACGCAGAACCGGTCGTATAACAAACAGTGAAACTGAAAAGTGTTAGGCTTTGTGGGAAAAAAATTCAGGATTAGTTTAATCGTGGTTTGAAAGACCAGAGTAAGAGTGTGTGTGCACGTTTTTGATGATAGTTTACACCTGATTTTGACACTCTATTGCATTAGAACAGATGACGCCCTCGAGGAAAAAACATTCAGAAAAACACTGATCCATGAACAGAATCATGTCACATCAGGCTCGATTACCAACCGCTGTTCGGCAATATGAGCCCGCTCCTCCTTCCTTTGCTTTAAAAGACTGAAAAATTTTATGGTGAAACCAAGGTTTTGATTGGTTGAATTTAGCTAAAACTTTGAATGTGATTGGTTGATTTAAACTACAACTTTGAATGTGATTGGCTTATTGAATTGTCCGATAACAAACTGTCTGATTATAACTTGGCTAGTGAATTCGTGGAAAATAGAAGTTTTTTCAACCAATCGGAATCGAGGAAATTGTGATTTTTTTTTTAATGATTAATATAAAAAAAGTATCACAGAAAGACTAAGTCAGGGCAGACGAAATCTCGACAGCGCGCGGTATTTGTAATTTGTATTCGTGTTACAAGAAAAAGCACCTGTTTTCAGCCAATCAGAAGTGCGTAATTTTTCATGTTCATTATTGCTTTAAGAACTTACCCCTTTAAGATGAAATTAATTGTATGGCAGGCAGTAAGGAGATTTACTAATGAGATTTTGGGAGTGAAAGGGTTATTACAACTTGGTTCATTTATTATTATGATCAATTTATAAGCAACAGTTTTAATCAAGGAGCGACCAAAATTTGTAAACTAGTAGAACTCACCTTAAAATTACGATGTTTCGGAAGAAACATGATCTTATCATCATTTTGCTAGTTTCGATCGAGTGTTGTTGAGCCAAGAATAGGTAATCATAACAGTAACTAAGAGAAAAGGTAAATATCACAATGAACAAATGAGAACTTTAAGTTAAAACAAACTGTAGGAAGCGCGGGTAAACGCAGGTGAATAAGTCGCAATGGTTTTAGTTTGGAATCTGATTGGTCGCGAGTTTACCAAAGAAGAGCAAAACCCACGTAATCTAGAATAACTTGAGACGCTCAATTGAAAACCATTAGTTAGTCCTCTTCGTGTGTCTGTGCACATAAGGTCTCAGCTAGAGGACGCCATTGATTACTAGCTGTCACTTGTGGCCTCTGCAGACTATTACGTGGTCTCGTTAACCAGCAGAGAAAAGGCGCATTTCGAAATTTACCTCGACACGGCAAAGACCAGAGCGAACCTCTAAAGACCATGGATACGAAAATTACAGAGGATCAACTTTGAGTGTGACAAAGAGTAGAATTCTACCTTTTAGAGTGCTTTTCCGATGAGTTTTTTTAAACCAAAACCAAAGTAATAACAATCAGAACGATGCAAATGATCTAAAAATGAGAAGTCAAAGCGAGAACAAGTAAATTGCTTAAAGCGTGGTAGTCCAAGTCACAACCGGTTTTAATTTTACATTTAATTGGTTGAGAGGGTCGTGCGAGTTTTCTGCACCAATCACAGAGCAAAGTAAAGCGAACCCAACGTAATCTGGGACTATTTTCGACACTCGATTGAAAATCGCTCTAAAAACCATCCTATCTGGAATTACCTATCATATGATTCAATACGCAGTCTTGTTGGTAATAACAAAAATTTTGAAAAATCCCAGATCTGACGAAGTTGAGGATAACTGTTTGGATTTAACCTTTTATCTCCCACAAGTGATAAGCATGTGACTTCTCCCTACGATATCCATAGGTAGAAGTTATCTTGATCTAACACCAAATTCTCGTAACCAATTCACAAGGAAATGTGTAGCAGCTAGTGGGGAGAATTAACAATCAGATCTTAGAAGTTTAAGGTTAAAATGCGAAATTTGCACATTCCAGAAATTTAACTCGGCTTGATCTAACTAGCGCAGATATATTTCATAATTGTGGGTACAAAGCTTTCAGGAGCAAAACACGTTTAGTTAAACCGAATGTAACTGAATGAAAACCAGAAACAGAACTGAAAGACTTAATTTTCCATAGGGATCAAGTAATTGAATTGTCAACTTGCAATTTTAATGTGCTGCATTTGAATTCGACAAACATCCATTTAACATGTTTTATGAAAAAAAAAAAACCATGTCCAACAAAATAGCTGTAAAGCACGTTTGAGCTTTGATGTGAATGGGGCATTAGTTAGGATTTCTTTGATTTTTGGAGAGGTAGATTTTTGTTAGGTAGATGCACGATGGATGCTGGATGCTGGATGCTGGATGCTGGATGCTGGATGCTGGATGCTCCATCACCTTTTAAAGAATTATTTCTTTTTTTTCTTACAGGTTCTAAAACTGATCCCAGAAGATTCAAGAAAAGATGATTGAAGAATGTTATCGAGTTAAATAAAGTTTTTTAAACGTCCCACATAGATACCTCCGTTCATCATCATCCAAGAAATCTATTGAGCGAGAAATTAGATAGAGAGTTTGTGCTTTTAAAAGGGCAGCCTATAATTATGAAAGAAAAAAATGTTTTCTCCGGATAACTGGGGCAAAAAAAAATTAGTCTTCCGGAAAACGCTACTCATAGGAAAAAGTCTGCGCTTTCGATCTGTATTTAATGTTGATTAAAAAATATACTAAGTCTTTTGGCGGGAAAAATTTTGCACCGCGCCAACGGTTTTATTCCATTAAGAGTCAAAGATATGTTTTTTTTTTTTTAACATTGAACGTTGTTCAAATCTACAGAATTTTTTTCCTTTCGGTAACCCTCCATTTGCAAAAAAAATTAAAAGAGATAGCCTATGTTTTGACTTGTTACCAGACCCTTTTAAAAGTGCAAATTGTTTGTTTATTTGTACTCCTAACTGAAACACAATAAAGGAAAGGAAGAGACAATATATATAATTGATATTTTTATTTGCTTTGTTTAAAATTTTATTTCCACAACAAGTCGAAAAGCGTTTACAACATTTGACAAGCATGATAAAACATGGTACAAACGCAATGATTAAGTAGTCTAGCCAACAAGAGATTATTGATTTTAAAAGTAAGACAAAACTAGTTGCTAAATAAGTTTGATCATGAAAATTAGTCTGAACTATGGTATTCTTGAAATAGAAACAATCTCAGAAAAAAAAAAGAAATCAAATCAAATACGAAAAAAAATTGACTTAATCTAAACACCACAAACTACTCGCAATTAGTAGAATTAAGTATGGAATAATTTGAATGAAAAATTATCGCCAAAAAGTTAAAAAATACTTTTATAGCATTATCCATTTCAAGTTCTCCGGCGTACCAGTTGTAATATCAACTTAAATTGAAGCTACTCCTTTTAACAAAAGATATCTAAATCGTTAACTAAATCTGCTTGTGATATCCTTAACGTTTGCACCTTACGATGAGACGAGAAATTTTTTCATCGTTAGACAATCTCATACTACCAAGCGTGATTTGAAAGCTGTTTTCCTTTTTTTTAATTTAGACGCCGAAATCATGAACCAGTTTCCGAGCAAAATTTTAGCTCTGAACGGATGTAAAAGGAGTTGGTGTCTTGTGTTACAGTTATGTTAGTGTCTTATGTTACAGTGTTACAGTTTTTTTACCTCTTATATCAATTTAGAACTTTCTTTTTTCCACATATGAATTTTCATCACGGACGATTTCAGTCTCGTCTTCTCTCACAATGCTTGTGGTCCACTTCAACCAAGGCAAACGAGCCAGCTGCAATAGAAAACAAACAAGAATGTTAAACAGTATCGAAAAAATCAAATTTGCCTAAGAATAATTATGCGAAAAAGCGCATTCCGCTTTGACCCTCTTGTTTTATCGTTAAAAATTTTTGATCACTTCGATAAAACTGTCCCATGCATGGGCGAAAAATATTTTAACATGTTGACTCTCTGCGTGTTACTCCTCTGCTATTCAAAGAAGATATCATCAGCTGATCATAGTACATTAAAATTTCAGCTTCAATTTGAGATCAAGGATTTTTTCCTCCTTCAAATATATTGATTAAAATATTTTATGTTGACGACGCACTGATCAAGATAAACCCCAAAGTAGGGTGAGACTGTTTTTTTTTCAGTAATGACGTGTATTACCTACACATAAAAAAATTATTACTGATCATATTGCATTGTTCGACTGTAAAAATTGAAGAAAAAAAAAATAAATGTTCAGTGTGTCAACTTTAAAACTTAAGGAATCCTACTGCATTTGAGTGTTTCTCGCCGATGAAAATTCTCATAAAAAGGCACTGAAAATAGTCTTTCAACAAAACTTTCGCATTTTCAAAATCAAAAGGATCTTAATTACGCCACCAAATTCAAACACGCCTCCAGAATTGTCAACTGAAAAAAAGAAAATATTGTTCGGGAACAAAGGCGGATAAATTACACGCTGCTATGTAAGCTACACTTATTTCAAATTCTCTGTCAGCTTTTTGTTCGAATTCCGATCATTCTTTGTTGGCGGTAAGACTCCACAAAAGTCTTAAAATGCAATCGAAAAAACATTGTAAGCTGTGTCTTTCCATAGGTATAATATAAATTACCCTTAACTAGAGCATATTTTTTGAGGTTCGCATCCATATTTTTAACTACTCGAAATTTTTTTATAGGTCAACCCTACCTACTCGAAAGTCGATTTATGAACCTAAACTAGGCTTAGTTTACACACGAAATTTTTTTTTTGTCAGATAGCTTTTGTTATCCTCCACACTTGGGAAGTATGTTGCATGTTGGGAATGCTGAAAGAATTTTACAACACCTCTTACAAACCGATTTCTCGAGGGAAAGATTTTAAACCCCATACTATTGTAAAAAAAAAACCCCGAGTCCCGAAGATAACATAATGCGTCGCCATTTGAGGAAAGAGCAGTATAGATATTGAGCATGGATTAAAAGGAAATCTTGCCAAAACACCTCGTTGCTTAAAGTTTGTTAGATAAAATTTCACTGGAAAAATTTCAATCGCCTTATGAAAGCGTACACGTTCTTATGCTGGATATTCCGGTTTGAATAATAAACACAAATTTCTCCTTAATTGAAGTAGCAGCCACATGTGTACAACATGAACCTATTTTAAACAAAATGATTTTTAAAGCTTACCTTGACAAGTTTCTTCTTTAATAGTTTCATTTCTGTCAACTCCTATGCTTCATTTAAATCTTTCTTCATCGCGGCTCGTCTGTAAGGGTAAAAACTTTAGCAATTACTTTTCGTAATTTAACATCAAGTGCAAAAATTTCCATCCAATGAAAGAGTTTTGATGTTTCCTGCCAGTGGCAGCCAAAATTTATTCTGAATGTCTTTAACACCTGTCCAGCGATTATGCCTCTCAATCTGCCATATTTTAACTCGGTTTGAATTCACCTAGAGGAAAAGAATACCCTTCCTCTCTGAACCTCTTTTTGAATTGAGCGGACTGATAATGAAAATTCCTCAAAAATAGCTTGTCCTTGATTCGGTTCAAGGACAGTTCTGTCTTGTTTCTCTGAAGTGAACTTTAATGTTCCCAACTTAATGAAGAGCACCGTTGTAATCTGTCTAAAAATTTCAACTCTTTCTACATCTTACCGTATCCTGACTTGTCCTACAAGAGGTGCAGTGGAGAACAACTCCTCGCTGTTTTCGGACATATTTGCACGACAGCCTTGATTAGTTGAAGATTTTTCCTAGTTCCTCCAGTGAAGTGATGCAGTCCATACCACGAGGAACCGTAAAATGCAAATGAGTTGTAAGCAGCGCACGTGCTTATTCAGTCTCTCGAGTAAGACTTGACCAAAAAACTGATAAGAGGCGTCAGGTTTTTAACATTTGATATCGTAATTTTTATAATAAACATTTTTTTAGAGAAAAAAAGAAATGCTTTTAGAAAAGGAAACGTGAGGTCGGGGAAGAAATGAAGCGGAGAAGTATTGTCAGAAAAGTATGTACAGAGAGCGGTGTATTATCAGGGAGGGGGCGGGGCCGAGGCCGAGAGGTTTTGATGATCTGGGGGTGGAGGGGGCGGGGAGTAAGGTGTAAACTTTGATTCAGAAAAGACAGAATTATCATTTTCCGAACCAAAGCCTAAATAAGCTCGGAAGTGTTGCAAGACTAGTAACTATCTAAAACCAGTACTTCACGTTGTATAGTGACATTAAAAAATGTTGTCATATTTAATTCAATCGAAGACAACAAATTTTGTCCAATAAGACCAAAGTGTATTTTTCTAAGTATGTATCATAATTTCTGAGGGTAGTTTTATTGCTCATTGTCAGAGCCTCAGCACGAGCGTTTCTTCAACCGTGGGAAAGTAAGTATGGGGCCTTGAGCAACGTGAGCCGGTGAGAGGTCTGCATGGAATCAGGTAATATTAGCACTATCAGTGCCAGACCCCTTGCAAACCTCTCCCCAACTCGTCTCAAATCTTCCTGCAGGTAGAGAAACGCGCGTCCTCTTCACCTTCGAAAAAGCCAATCAGCCTGCACAAAGGACTATTCACTTGTGTTGTATATATCAATGGATGTTATTGTAATAAAGATTCTACATATGTTCGAATAATATCTCAAACTTCATATCATGAAAAGATGTAATCTAGGTGCTGTCATCTCTATTGTGGTCTTTATCATTATAAAAATTAAGTGTGAAGAATGTTCCAACTGTTTTGTGAACTTGAATTTGCTCCGTTTCAATCTTTACTACACTGTCATTGTTCTGAAAATTATTCTTGTAGGCCAATGCAATGAAGCGATTTGAATCATTCACCAGAGGACTTGCTATATATTCATCTAGCTACAAGAAAAGAGTAAACAACTGTGAATTAGTCTGAGTGATGTGTATGGTGGGAGTATCCTTTGTTATCAACAAGACTTTCAGTTTCATGCTCAATCTGTCTTTTTGATTACCAGACCCAAACTTTCCTAGGTTGTTCTCTCCCCCACCCCTCCCACACGGTTTACAATCGTGCTTCGTTTAACAAACTGAACTCCTGGAACAGTCTCAAAACCCTGTTAAAATCTGGTATAAATTTGACAAAGGCTGCTGCCATTTTGAATTCAAATCAATAATCTGGCTATACAAGTACGACATCCTAGAATTCAAATTGAATGGTGGGACCAAATAAGTGCAACTGACAAACAGCAGCCGTTTTGGTTACAAGCTTCACTGTTCTCACAGAACTTTTTCCTCACACACTTGCGACTTTGCATATACTTTGTAAAATGTTACCAGCATTGGAATTTTGTATTCCATGGCATACAGTTGTTCATTTAAACTTGATACTTTAGCCCTTTCACTTCTAGATCTCATTTAATTTAGTAATTCTTCCTACCATCTGGCCTTACACTTCTCATGATGTTAGTTAAGTGAATTTGGTATTAGATCAACTAATTATTTCCTGATTGAAATTTTATTTTTTACTCTTATCACTTTTCTGCTTGATATTGTCTTCATATTGTAACGAGAAAACTCTTTTAGTCACTCATGGGAGTTAAAGGGTTAACCTAGAGTCAGGTGTAGTTTGAAAGCAATGACAACAAGCTTGACAATAGTATGTTCAAATGAGCCACAGTGTTTTTGCATGATGTAATTACCTCCATCCATTGGGCATCGGCAATCTCTTTTGTATCCCTTGTTATCTCATGAGTTAAAGGTTTCAGAAGACATATGAAGTAGATATCTGAACAGCCAAAACGGAAGTTAAGCATGTGACGAAAACAAACAAGAGAAATGAAAGTGGTCTGAATACCAGTTTCCTCCAACACTTCCCTCGTAACAGCTTCAACAATATCTTCACCTGAGAAAGGAATTGCATTACATTGGTATTACAGATTGTCACTTTACCATAGCAGATAGATTCCATGTTGGTGGGTGTCTGTGATCTATTACTGTTCAGACCCACAGCAGCATGGAATCTATTCGTTAATATGAAAACAGAGCAAAACATTGCATCTGTCCTCCAATTGGGCATCAGTAGGAACCAATTAAAAGAGCAACATTTGATAACATAACCAGCTTCCCCATGGAAGAACTAAAAATGATGGAAAATTTATTATTTGATTCCTGACTCCCGCATTACAGAATTTTTACCATCAATGCAGGATCAAAATACCTAAAAACCTCTTAGTTCTGGTGCATGAATTTATAAAATAAATTTTATTGTAAGTGGCTGATACAATCTTTTACAGTGTATTTATAGAAAATAGGTATGGTTAATATTTACTTCTGTCTACCATGCCTCCAGGAAGTTTCCAATGCTTTTTTCTACTGTATCTCTCACAGACAGCTAATACCTGGTTCTTTTCATTGATTACAAGCCCACCAGCTCCTGAAAATCAACAAGATACTGGACCTAATCTTCTACTCATCCACTGTGTCTGCTTGACAACAGAGTAATTTAACTTTCAAGAATAAAAAAGACTGTTAGCTATTTCAACAAAAGCAAATATGTCATTATGAACATAAAGTCAACTCTCTTTCAACCCTGTTAGTCCCAAGATTTGAGAACTCATTTTCCCAACAAATGACCACATATTTCTTCATTAGCAGTGCTGAGTATTTGGTGTTGGATCAATTGATAATTTCTTAATTCATGTTACCTACCGGCCTAAAAATGTATTAAAACTTAATGGAGAATGTATTCATTGATCACTCCTGGAGGTAAAAGTATTAACTAGACACCTTACAGACTGGCACCAGCATTGTCTCTAGAGTTAAGATGTTAATTGCCATTATAACATTACTACAATTTACAACAATTGATAAAGAAAAGGAAAAGAAGATTAATGGTGAGGAAACCTCATGAAAACCAAAAAGGCTTGTAAGCTTAGGTTCCTTCAGAGGTAGTAAAAGATAACAATATAAATAACAGATATATAAAATAATGTGTTGACAGTAATATATAGATACATACTATAGCAAGTCATATGCTTTTTTGCAGCAAAATGCAGGGCACACAATTCCCACTGATTGAATTTAGTCTTTCTCTAGTCTCATAAAAGGTCCAGTTCAGCATTTTTGAAAACAAAATTCCCTACGGCTGACAAATTACAAAACTTGTACAATGAACAAACAAAAAAGAACACAAGACATACCAAGGTAGCTTGTGGCAAAGGTTGGCAGAGTGTTTGGTTCATCTTTGGGAAGCCAGTGAGTTAAAACAATGTAGGTTGGATAAGTATGGTGAAATTGGAAACCATGCTTGGAAAAAAAAACAAACACAAACAATTTATTATGTTTGTGATAATAACACACTTAAAGCTAACCAGTCAATTTTGTATTATCAACTGAATTGATAATTTAAATTGGAAGACAAATGTTTGTTCTAGAATTTTGTGGCTTTCTGAACTGTCCAGGGATAAGGAAAGGCTGCAAACTATCACTAAAAGCTAGTTAATTGGTTTGCAGTAGATCAGGTTGGAAATGAGTCCACTCTAGCTCAAATAGAGGCATTTGGAACTGGTGGCTCAAAGGTAAAGTGACAGGTGAATTATAAACCTAAGCCAACCTACTCATTCTTCCTCAGCCAAGTACAGTTTCAGAGGCATGAAGAGACAAGATGTACTGCTACTGCTTCTAGATGCAGTGTTAGTCCATTGCAGATTATATTCCCCCCTGATTTAATCAAGTTCATACCCTTGACGTGCAATTGCCTGAATTTTTCTGCATGCATGACAAATGTTTAACACAGAGATCTCATGAATATGAGAATAAGGCCTGAAAATACTTCAGGGCTGTACAGGATTTGAATCCATAACCTCTGAGATACCCATGCAGTGCTATACCAACTGAAATAACAAGCCAACTAGGAGTGGGTCTTTATTTAGGTTCATAATAAACCTGTGGGGTGATAAATCAATAACTTTTAATATGTGAACTATGCTCTAATACATGAATATGAAAGCAATCTTCGCAATGAACACTACTTAAGCAGTAGTGAAAATATGGCCTGGAAAAATTCAGGTCTGTACAGGATTTGAACCCATGACCTCTGTGATACCTGTGCAGTGCTCTACCAACTGAGCTAACAAGCCAACTGGGAGCTGGTTGTCATGTTGGTGTCTCAATAACAGGTGCTCTCTGTTGATCTGTCCCTGCTTCTAATACCTCTCACCATCCTCTGTTTAGCTGGCAAACAGATTCTAGTGTTTGGGTTTGGCTTACGGCCCCTTCTCAGGCATAGCCCATTATTATAACATCATTAGCAGATACTTAATGAAAATGTTATGGAAACTCCTGTTCTTCATTCTTTACATTTAATACTATATAATTATAGACATTATGACTCACTTTTACAGCAATTGGAATAAAAGTGGAATTCTCTATTGATATTCTAAGCCAAACTCCCCTAATACCACACTGCTTGAATTTTTCCAGTGATACTAAAATGAAGTTGAAACCAATTGAAATTAATAATCAATTCACTGAACTAAATTAATACAATCCTTCAGAAATAATGAACTTACAAGCAAGTTTTCTTTCAAAGTCTTCATTACTTTCACACTTCTCCACATCTGTGTTGATTGTTATTCCACCAAAGCTACAAAAAGTGTGCAATATTATCACAACTATATCACTCAAAAACATTTCTTTAAAGAATAATATTTCCTTTCCCATGTAATACAGTTTATGTACATATTGACTGAGTGTGTGGGGGGGGGGGAAGGGGCTGAGGGTCATGTCATGTTTTGCTCATGTTTTGGTCCCCCCCCCCCCCATTTTATTCTAGGATCTTCTTTTTTCTAAGATATTTTCAGTTATTGTGACTGGCTGCTGTGATACCAGTTTTACAACATCCCATTGAAAAGGACTCAATTATGTTTTGTCAACATGAGCCAGGGGTATTTTATTTGTGTCCTTGACTTTTATTTGTGGATAAATGCAAACTTCAAAAGCATAGTCAGGTGAAAATTTGCGAGGTATTCTGCGTGTGTTACATAACAAGAATAACTCCAAGAACAGAAACAGCAGAATTTTCTTAGACCCATAGTGCAGACACACCACTACTATGGGAATCCTATGCATCAATCACTCCTTGGTCTACCCGCTTGGAAAACAGCCTGTAATCCACTCAATCGATCTCATAACCATTACTCACTAGGTATCATTTTGACCGATACATGATCGAATTGCTTTTAATCTTAGTCGTTTAGTTACGAATTAGCAATCTTTACTTACATATCTTTGATCCCCTTGAATTCATCTTCGCTGAATGATTCATTTGTAGAGGTATCCAAATAACCTTCGGCGTTCACCGCCTTAGCTGAGCTCATCGCAAAGCCAACTGCAAAAGAATCTGGAATCAACCGGAAATCTAGGTCAACTCGCCGGCTGACGTGCAACTAATTTTTCGTTCATGTAAGCCAATATATAGTGTCCAGGACAACACACGGTATTAGGTTGCTTTAGACACGTTGAGAGAGAGACTGTAGGAGAGACTCAAAAGACACGTTACATCTGAAAGTAGACGGAATGGACGTTAGTACATCCTCGAGGTTGAAAGTTGAAAAAATGAACAACGGGCCTAGATAAGAAACGGATGGTGAATATCTGGGTTTGTAAAGTCCGGAAGAATGAATTTTTGAGTCATGCTACTTGCTACAGTATTAATAACACTGATATTAAAAATGAACTCCCTGCAACATCTCAAACGAAATTCAATATAGAAAAGGAACAATTTCTTCGAGACCTGTCCAAAATCCCCCGAGCCCCCTATTGTGTTCTATTTCAGCCAATATCGCGTTTACTAAATTAACGCCTCAGATAGGATATTAATTTCTTGACTTAAGCTACATGGTTTAGTTTAGCTTTAACTGATATGTTCGGCAAGGATCAGTACCTTTCTGAAGATACAACGGGAGCTTTCTAAAAATGTCCCAGGGGTATTGAATAAAAGGGGGTAAGTTTCTGAAGAAACTGTGGGACTGCGTCAGTGGGAGAGTTCAGCAAGGTAATTGGTTTTATGAACTGAGTTGATAACGTGAATTGGCCACCGTAAATAGTTTCAAAGCTAACGTTTCGGGCGCTAGCCCCTCGTCAGCCCTTGAAATGTCTGCTCAGAAACTCTTAATGGTGGCCAATTTACGTTATTAACTCAGTTGATAATACCAAACTTCCCCGAGAGATTGTTGGTCCTTTTTTAGCGTTCCGTTTCTCGGTTAGCATGCGCTATGGGCTATTAATGTTTAGATTGCAAAAAGTAACTAATCACAATTTCAAAAACAAGTTTTAAGTGTAGGTTATCTAATTTTCTTCGTGATACAGTTTTAATACCTCTTTTATATTCTCCGACTTATTTCTGTTTATACAGACTCTCTTAACAAAATTATGTTGTAAAGAACCATGGCCAGGCAGATGGTGTCAAAAGGGGTAACAGCTGCTGACCGCAATGTTCAGACCGCTAGAAGCGGAGTTTGCCTCAGTAAGAGCAGAAAGGAGTTGAGAAAATAGATGCATATCAATTAGCGGATCCAGTTTGATTTAGCATCAAATTCTCAGAACTTAAATAATGAGAAAAAACCCTACGCAACGCAGAGAATCAGTTGAAATTTAGATCTCGGGAGTGAATGGATTTAGCACATTTCAAATAGAACGAAAGTGCGACGGCATAAGAAACTACGTTCATGGAACAGAGCCGGCTTCTCGGTGTTTAATCAAGTACCGTAATCGGCGACACGTGTTACTTACCTAACTTCAAATATTTTATTTTCTAATAAAAGGAAATAAACGTCAGTTAAGTAAAGAATATATTCACCTTGACTCGCTCTCTTCTAAAGAAACGAGCTAGTTGTAATTATGCCATCTTATGGCGTCACTAACCAAAAAAATGGTAGCAAATTCGACTGACAGAGTGCGTTACCGCGCTTTTTGATAACATGCGGACACTGGAGTTCATGTTGCAACCAATATTCAGCGTAAGGGGCATCGACGAACAGAGACGAGCAAAATAGATGGTGACCCTCCAATCACCACAAGAGAACTTGATATTGTCTTCACGAAAAACATTTTCAAAGATGAATCTTTCAACTCCACTGTTCGTATGCTATTGAAAAGCTAAGTGCGAAAAAAATCAACAGAACAAAGACAAACAAAATTACTAGCATCCGACAGGGGCATACTTTTTACCGTCTTTCAAGCGAGCTTAGGCGAGCGCGACGCGAGCGTGCGGATGGCGTGGGTGGCGAGCGCGAAAAGAGGCTCCTACATTTGCACGTGACTAATCCCTTGCGCTTTCCACGCGCCCGACTCGCACTCGCTTGAAAACCATAAAATGACGCCTGCTCTGCAGGCTAACAAAACAATTACGAGGGGAGAAACAGGAAGGACGCCCAAAATTCTGACCCTAATAGTACGAATTAGTGTAGACATGTATTGAAAATTTCGATTACGTATCTTTGGTCAAAATTCTGAGGAAGAGTGGTTTCTCTCGCATTCGTCACTCTTACCATTACTACAGTAAAGGCCAGCATTACGTACCTGGCAAAACAAGGCCGAAAAATTAAACTAAAATCTGTCCACCAAACAACAAATATTGATGAACGCCCTTTTACGTGAAAGCGGATATGTAAATTTAACAAAAATCTTTCAGTGCGATTTGCACGACGAAACTAACCTACCAAATAATTTACAAATAAAGGAGACAGGATATGGAACGCCTAAATTGCCTCTGTCAAGAAGATTTCTTCGCAAGCTTAGTGTACTAGTTGAACAAGTAACACAGTCTTATCTAATTAATTCATTTTCTCAGAGAGCGCCTTTCGACTGAGTGTCGTTAAACCAAAACAAATTAATTATAACGAAGGTAAATACCACGAGGGACCAATTCAGAGTTCAAAGGAAATTCATTTCCGGTGCTGAGGCGTCGGAAACGAGAGTGAACTGAGTCGCCATGTTTCAGTCTTACATCTGATTGATCGAGGGAAAAGCGCAAGTTTTCTTGATGTAACAATTACGCAGCGAAAGTAAAATTAGTGAAGCCTCGAATTGCGTTCGACACTCATTGAAAACTGCTCCATAGGTTTTAAATGACAAACACTGTTACCTAAAGAGCCCACAGATAGGCGTTTGCTTATCATGATTTTTAACGATTTCGCTTGTACGCACGTGCGGTTCAAAGTACCGCTTAAATAATTTAACGTATTTAATCTTATATTTATCTGTACACTTTTTACACCACAAATTTTGATTCCGTATGCCAAAATAGAAGCTTTTCTTCGCCTGTTCCAAGCGTACAGTTGGTACACAACGCCGCAATGAAAACCGGTGCCAAATAGTACCCAGTCCCTCCTCTTTTTGCTGGCTTCATTTTGCGTCTCTCTATCGGTTCAAGCGCATCGTTGTTTTCTTGACTGAACGCCGGGAACAGGTCATGTTTTTCTTTACATGATTAAAATTGGTTCTTGCTGAGTATCGGGAGTAAGCGCTCTAGTTAATGCAGGAACACAGTTACTTGGAATAAGGCAACCTACGAGAGAAAAAAAACAAGTTCAATCCCCAAACTTTATCGAACAAAATTTGCAAAAGTAGCTATCGCGTTAACCTTTTAACTTAACCCTTTAACTCCCAGATCAAATTGGTAACTCTCCATGCTGTCAACCATACAATTCTAATAATGTTAGCTCAGAGAATTTAGTATTGGTTTAACTGATTATCCCCAAATTGATATTTTTCTTTATTCTCATCACTTATCTAGTTGATATTGTATTGATATTGTAAGGAGAAATTCTGTCTTGGTCACTCATGGGAGTTAAAGGGTGAAAGAAGTGATTGTGACTGACAGGCAACTTCTTAAATTTTCGATACATAAGCTTTCTTGGGATTGATATCTGGGTTTTTCGGAACTCGGCAGGGACAGTAACAATATTTGTTCAATTCAGGGAAAGAACTCTCGTTAATTTATCTGACGATAAATTCGGCATTAACATAACAGCATTCGAATTGAACAAAGAAGGTTGTTTGAACGTTTTAATTAGTCAACGTGAAATCTGAAGCCGATTGCATTCTCCATCCTGCAGATCACCAGGGTTCAAAAAATTCAAGAGTCAAATTGGACAGCCGCGGGGTTGTCAATTCCACTCAAAACCAGAATTTCATCAACAGCTTTCTCGTCGGCTAAACCACTAAAAGAAAGTGAAATTAGAGTCATTTAGACTTACCAACTATTCGAGATCCATCGCTCTTTCTGCAACGAACAATCTGTATTTTGGAGTTTGCACCAGACTGACCAGCTAAGACACTTTCCACTTTACTCCAAACGCTTAGCACCGAGCCGCTCAGGATGTGGAACGTACGCTGTCGCCTGCCCACCTCACAGCTCAAACCAAGAGTCATTCGTTTACAGTTACCCTTCCTGCAAAAAAAAAAAAATAATAACAGCTATAATAATTTCTCTTTTGAGAGGAATCGACCTGAGGTGTTTAGTCAAGTACACAGCCACTCGATTTAATATTTTCATTACCAGCGTTCTCCACAATGAAATTTCCCTTTATAATGCCAATACATTATGGGATGGCTATTGTAACGTACAGTTCTGGTGACGTCTTGGCCAAATAAAGCAATAAGCATGTGTTATAAAGGGCCAATCGCATTCAAAAACCGTGTTAATTCACACTTCGAAGGTTGTAAAATGTATCTGGATCAATCATTTTGCTCTCTTTAATCATAACTATTCAGCCTCAATTTGCAGCGCTAGAGCCACTTTAGTTTAGCTCGCGCTTGGTCATTTAGAACATGGGCCCTTAGCAAGGATTCTTATAAGACTTTGTACACTCACCAGTAAGCGTGGTTGCACTGACTGAGGGCTGATTCGTACTGATCTACCCAACTACTCTGAGCCTCATGGTCTAATACCTTAAAAAAACAAAAACGGAAGGTTATTTACTTGTGGATGAATTATCATCGATAGTTTCAAGCAGAAATCACTTCTGATGTGGATCGCAAGGTTTCAACTGCATACTGCCGTTCTTCCCTTCTATTGCATGAAGACTGGTAGAAGGCAGTCAAACGTTGCGATTCACATTGAAAACGACTTTGTCGTGAGGCAAGCAATAAGCAATACCTTTTAATAGGCGAGTTTGAGGTCCCTACTGAAAGTTACGGACCGAGTTTTTCCACCGAAGCGCACAGGCCATAAATCCGCGCGGAAAAAACGAGGTTCCGTAACTCATAGTAGGGGACCGAGGACACGTGGTCAGAAAAGCTTGAACAAATCACGGCTTATTCACTCGCATTTTCCCGCGCTTCACACCGCTAGCTGATGCTGATGACGTAACAAGATTTGAACAGAAGAGAACACGTGACTGGTTACCTTTTTGTACTTTTTCTTGACGTCTTCCAGTGTGTCCTGTTTTGTTTGCAGGCCAGTATTAGGTCTGTACACATTGATCACATCCTTCTTTTTGCTTCGAGACTGACACATGACCAAGATAGCAGTTTTCTTGTGATTCCGCACCTGGTTCAAAATAAGTATATATATTTTGCAAAGTTAGTTACCTTAGGTTACTTTCACTTTTATATTCCACCATGGTGTGTTCGTAATGGCCTTAATGGTGCACTTAGGTTTCAGCCAGGGACCACTTAAGTTTATTAAAACTTCGAATAAATATATTTTTTTCTACCGAGTGTCCAAAGAAATGCATCGGTTTTAATTCACAACGCTCTGTGATTGGTCTAAAAAACTCACGCCACCCTTACAGCCAATGATACAAAACTAAACCAGTGGTGCCTTAGTCACTTGCCTTTTCCCGCGCTTCAGGCAGTTTGCTTGTTTTTACTCTAACTGCTCTTCTGATTGTCCACCGGAATAAATTCCGGCTTAGTTTTTACGAGGCTCAACTGAATTACGCTCTATTACAATAATTTTCCTTTTCCAGTTTGACGAGGTTGCCGTTCCCCGTATCGAAATGGCATCCGTCTGGGCAAATATCAACTGCATTCTCAACTCAAAGTTTCTTGTATAGTTCTTTTCGCTGTTCATGCCCATGTAAATAGCTACAGCAGCATTTAGAGCAATTTTCAATTGAATTTCGAAACTATTACGAGATTACATTGGTTTTGCTTTATTTCGCCCACTCATTGGTTCAAAGACTCGCGCAACTCTCTCGGTCAATCAGATGTAAAACTAAAGCCAATTAGGACTTGGTTTCACGACACTCAATACAAAAGCGCTTTACTGTTAAAGTTAAAACTTCTTCGTTGACACGTTACCGACGAACTCACCTGGTTGGAAAGGTAATAACCATCCTCTGGGTGCGACTGAGACCGCCGTAATTCAAATGATTCTTCCCACGACATTCCCCGCTCTACGCTTATCTAAATATGCAAAGGAGAAGAAAAGTTATTGACTCATAACTTGGGCTAAAGAAAGCTTGTCTAGAGGAGCTCATCCCGGATTCTGTAACATGAAGCGACTAGACGTAAACACTGCAGTCAAACGTTTGCGCATGTGCGAACGTTGGAATGACCAGGTGGCGCACGAGTTACAAACAACCACACAAGCCAGTCAGTTGCGATGTTTAAGCAACCTTTTTTTGGAAAGCTGAAAACAGAACCTTACATCAATAGGATACCCATACTGGACCGTCGCATCTTTCCAATTCGTGTTTAAAATAAAAGATAATTGAAGAGAGAGGCAGCTTACTGTGTGTAATTCTGTGGTAGCTGTGCCCATAGTTGAATTACCAGCAAATGTTTGAACACTCAAGTTAGTCACAGCTTCACCATGAGCACCAAGGTCTGAAAAAAAACACGACCAAAATTATCAAAACTGCATTTCATGTTGCTGTGAGTACATTCAACAATGGATCACAGATGACATCAAAGTGTAGCAAGAAGAAAAAAAAGTTGATACTTTATGACAGCTTTAAAAAATTCCAACGTTTTTGATTACCAAGAATTCCTTCATCCCACCGTCCACTTCTCTTGGCTTGTTGTACCACAACAGACAGTGTTTTCATGAAGTATGCGAACAGGTGGTTTTGAAGTTCAACTTCTACACCAAGGATTCGATTTAAAAACCGTGAGATGTTCGTGAAGTCTGATGAAAAAAAAAAAAACGGAAATGAAGACAAAAACAAATTAATCAAGTAACCCTTAAACCCGTGAAAGTGACTGCCATTTAATTTTCCTTAAAAAAAAATAACACCTCTGAATCAAACATCAGAGTTCTCCAAAGAAGGACATGAATGCGAACTCAAGAAGCCCTTGATTGTTAGCCAAATTCTCCTTCTTTTCCTTGTGAAAACAACTGAATGGAGAATTTGCATGTTGATGTTACCGTGTAAAGGTTTAATGGAGAGAGGTACAGAAATGGTTAAGTGCCCTAAACCATAACATTACTGACCAGACCAGGGCTCGTACCCAGACTTCTTGATCCGTAACTCTTTCTGTGCCTAATGTTTTCGAACAAAGCCTGAGAAAGAAAGTTTTACCTTTATCCAAAATGGTCACGTTATTCTTGTCATCTTTGACCACAAGGCCCACACCGATCAGAGCTGTACGTACATCTGTTGTAAAAAGAACCAAAGTAAACGTAGATGTTAAAATTTGTCATGATCGAGAAACAAGAAAAACACTTGCATCACCCTTGAAGATTATTAAAAACCCAGCCAGTTCCGAGCTTCAGTGACCTCGTTGGCACAGGGACAAAGACTACAATCCCTGGCGAAAGAGTCTTAAAATGAAAAAAACAAAACAAAACAAAACAAACAAACAAACAAAAACAAATCAAACAAAAAAACTCGCGCAGATAAAGGATACTTAATGTTCTGTGGTCCCATTTCCCCCATACCCCCACTCAACTTAAATTGTTGACTTTGACCTCCCTGGGTGATCAGCTTCGCTGTTAACATTTCCTTAGGGGGAGGGGGTGGGGAATGAGGATCTTCATCAAATATAACGGTGTTTCGTCATAATTATAACGAAGTAACAGGTAAGTGGCTTTGTGAGTTTTCGAAGGTGTTCCAAGGACTTGAAAAAAGGATGAAAGGATTTTCGAAACACGACTCAATATCGGTAAATATAAACATACCTTGAAAAAACTCTCCTTTGTAGTCTTGTGGTGGTGGAATCGTTGGCGTACTCTGACCAGTGACAGCTTTTAAAACAGCTTCCAAAGCAGCCCTGCCATACTAGATATAAATACAAAAAGCTTACGTCAACTAATACTTAACAAGCCCATTTGTGACGCATTAGCGCCCCTTTTAATTGAGGGCCGTAAAACCAGAACCAAAGCGATAACAATGGCTAACCAAAGGAAAGGTAGATATCATAAGGGCCAGTAAGACAAGAGTAAAGACCTGCAAACTGCCTGAAGCGCGGGAAAATGAGAGTGATGGAGGCGCGATTGGATTAAGTCCAGCATGTGATTGGTTGAGAAGATGGCGTGAGATTTCCGGACCAATCACAATCCGTGGGGAAGTAAGACCAAAACAATGTTTACTAATAGAAAAAAATCGTGAGGGATTGATGAGCGGCTACTGAAAAAGGCATTAACAGAAAACATTAAAATTTACCTTGTTGTCAATATTGTATCTGCTTAAATCTTGTGATTCTGTAGCTCGTCGATCTCCGTGAGTAAGAGCTCCCTGAAACGCAATTTTTTTTGCATGATATCAACCCTTTCATTCCCAAGAACTAGATCTAAATTCTCTGCACGATCTGCCACACATTTCTTAAAAATTCTTGCACTGAAAACTTCATATTCAATCAAACAATTGTGCCTTATTGATGTTTTTCTTTCCTCTCATCGCTTATCTGCCTGTCAAGGTAGTTACATGTATATTGTAAGAAATACTAGGAGAGAAACAGTTAAGTTAGCGCCCCCACCACCACAAAAAAAGGAAAACGACTCTTAGGGCACTCATGCTAGCAAAAACATGGCCTCGCGTTTAAAATTAAATAAAAATTAAAGAAAAGAAGGTCTACAGTAGAGCTGAACTGGTAGTACTTAATCATGGCTATGAATATCATTCTGAAAGCTATCGAATTCAAGTTGTACAGCTTACCAAACTCTCTAGCCTCTTGGCTACAATGGAAGCAAAACGTCTTTCTCCAGCCAGTTCAGATATTAAAAACAGGTACTCTGGGGCGCTCACTTGATTGGACCGATGAGATCGACCTGCAGATCATTATTAATATTATTATTATTATTATTATAACATTATTAATGACAACAATAATTTCATTCAGATCGAGTATTATTTCAGTTTCCGCCTTTAACAACAGTTGAACGATCCTTTACCGAACTGCTGAATTGCTTTGTCTGCACTCCACGGTAGTTCAAGAGTAATGTGAACGCGTCTTCGTTGATTCTGAAACATAGAACACATGGAAAGTCAATCAAAATCAATTTTTTCCGGCTAACATGCATTTATACTATCTTTTCCCTCAATCAGCAACTCGTTCTGTCAAGCAGAAATAATTAAACTGACACGAATGACTTTTTTCCCCTCTCGTCAATCGCCAGAGGGAAAGTTGACAATAAGCCATTAAGCAGAAAGGAGAATTCAAAATTGCTAATATTTCCAAACGAAAGTTTTAAATGCGAGTAATACACGTATCAACAGAGTGTACATAATGGTCCCAATTACACTGTTCAAATGTTAACTTAAGGCCGGATAGTTTTAAATACCTTGGCTCTCCTGTCTGCCTGTAGAGAAATGCCTGAGCTGGCAGCTTCTGAGATAATTGCGATGCTCTAAAAAACATAAAAAAAACTTTAAGATATAACATACTTGTGTAAACAGCAATCTCTTACCAACTGTTTGAAGTAGTCCCGGATTGCACTGGTTTTCCTTCACTACGCTTTATGATCAGGCTAATTAATATACAGAACTAAAACCAATCACGACCTGGTTCCTCGCCTCTTTCCTTCCCGCGCTTCAAGTCAAATTAAGTTTCTCAAAAGTTGACGGGAAACATTTTCCATCACCGACGTATATCACTAACTGTAACATCATACCTTCTGTCCATCCATGAATCTGTTTTTCTCAACAACGTTAATAATCTCTAAAGGCACATCTTGTTTGCTTCTTGATTGGTAGCTTACGGTCCCATCTTCATTACTCACAACACGACCTTTTCTTCCCGTCATCTAAACACAATAAAACTGTGTCACACATCTCATTTACGTATAATTGATAATTGAACTGTATTTTGAGAAAGTATTTAGTTTTTGCGAAAGATTCAAAATGTGATAAGAAAAAAAAGTGACACACAAGGCGCAGCCGAGAGAACCACAGATATTTTTAATGCTTCTGTGACCGACTCACCTGACATTGAATTTATTTGTTTTAGAAAATAAAGAAGCAAAAAAAAAAAAATGTTTATGATGACGTCAGCTATGCGTCTATCCTCCAATAGATAATAGGTGGGGACCAATCAAAATGCGCGCATAATTCATAATTCATACTTACAGCTTACAGCTTCTCCTACACTAAATTGTAAAGGAAACATGGGTGTATATGGCGCATGCAAACAAAAAAACCAGTAAAACTCCTGGGCACAGTTGTTCGTAGGCTGATTAGTGCTAACCAAGGGTTAAATTACGATCTCGATTTCTTTATCCCTTTGTTCAAAAGCCTTTCTTGGATAATTTTCTCTCTTCTTCGAAGGACATTCAATCATCAAATTGTAGATGAAAGGAATTGTATTGGATTGTCTTTCAAAGCTTTCACATCTAAAATCAGATTTCCCACTAACCCTGAGTTATCTTAACCCAGCTTTGAACAATGAAAAACCCGACCCTGGACTTAATTTACAATCTAAAGAGTTAACACTTTACACCCTAACATCAGTATGCATCTTCTCCATACTGTTTCCTATACATTTCCTAGGGTGCTGACAAGGAGAACTTGTTGATCAATCAAGGGAATATTTAGTTGGTGATCATTTCCTCTACTTTCATGACCTTACTGTGTGATGCAGGGGTTATACTGTTGGGAGAAATTAGATGCTGGTCACTCTCATGGGTTAGAGGGTTCATGAAAGGCCCTCAGCAAACAGGACACGTGGTCAGATGAGGCAACTCAATCTACTCACCTCTGCAACATTGTCTGGCCCACCCAGCTCATCTATAAGTTCATCTAAAGTGTTTGGAGGGAGACATTTGGACAGGACATCAAGCTTATCAAGTAACTCCCTTTTCATTGCTCTGCACATATCTGCAGCAGAGTTTGCCAGTGGTCCTGGGCTATTTGCTGCAGTTAAACTAGAAAAAGCTGGCGCACTCGCGGAATGATGTAAAGTCTTCAGTCCACCTGCAGATGAAGGCAAGTGTGTTATTACAAATTATAAAATAATTCAAATAGTTCGCGCGCTCTGATTGGCCATAAAACCATTTTACACGAGCGTATGTAAACACGGTTTTCGTTCCTCTTTCATTAGTTATTTTATAAAAGAAATGTAAAATAGTTTCCGTGTTTACATAGCCTGACGTAAACACGGAAACCATTTTACATTTCTTCATTGATCAACACATTCCTTATGTTAGTTATAGTTTGAGGTCTGAGAAGACAAGAGCAAAAAAAACCTGATTATCACATATGAATTTCGCATATGGCCTTGCTCATTATAAAGTTCTCTGTGGCCCAGTGGAAGAGCAACATCCAAATGATTGAGGCTCGAATCCTAATAGGGACTCAAGGCAGGTTGCTCGTTTTCATTTTGAGTTCTCGTTGGCTCGCTCCTCGCGATATTTTGTCTTACGATTGGTTGTTATGATTACTTTGATATTGGCATTACGCCACTCGATTGAAAAGCATTCTATTTTCCTTTCTCTTCCAATTGGCCACTGCGATGACCGCTTTACAACATTTAGTTGAACTGCGCTTAAACAATAAAAGCTAATTACCAGCTGGGTTCCACGAATGCTGGCTCTCCAGCCCATTAGGCTGTTTTGTTCTCTGTCCAGGTGTGCTCCATGGGAGACCACCCACTTTAAGCCCGGCAGCTGCCAGAGCATTGTAACTTGAGTCAGGACTACCTGTCTGTGATTTGTTTTTCGAAGACTTCCGAGACTTTCGATGCAGCCATGGGTCTAAACATGAAAATAAGAGGTTAAGCAAGTTTATCTCATAGCACTGATAGCTTCACTATACAAACACAGGCTTCTAACAGCCACAGCAAGGTTTTTGACCTTCCATCATCTCTCTTTAACCCCTCACACCTTAACATCAGTATCTAAATTCTCCATACTCTTCTCGATACGTTTCCTTAGTGCTGATTAGGAGAATTTGTTTAACAATCAAAGCTTCTTAGGTTGGCGATCATTTCCTTTATTCTCATTATCGTAATAAATGATTCAGCAGTATTACTGTAAAGAGAAATTGGATGCTGGTCACTCTTTGGGTTTTAAGATTATGTTTTTTTTTACAGGCCTCTGTTCACAGCTAATTCAAAGGTAAATGTTCATTGTGTACCGATATGAACCAGGAAAACTGAAACAAGCATAGCTTGTAAAAAAAACAGTAATTAAAACTTGAGTGTGAAATAAGAATTAAAACATATCCCATTACCAATACCAATACAGTTTTGTTTCTCTCTATCACAGTTGCCAGCTGCAATCCTTCTCGGAACTCCCTCCCCCCAATACAGACCACCTCAGGATATGTTTGGCCGTTTCTCTTAGGCTCCAACCATTGACTCTATTGTAACAAAACACTGTACCTTCATCATCTGATCCTGACACACCAAACGGGTTAGAATCATCCTCCTCTTCTGCTGCTGAGCTGTTGCAAGACTCTGCTGCACCATCGTTCTTGCCGTTGTTTTTATGAGCGTTGAACAATTCATTCTCACCATTGCTCTTCTGACTTTCGTCTGATTCACTATCAGAGCCACTACTCACTAAAGAGAAAAAAACAGCAAAAAAAAAATTTAATCAAATTTACTTAAACGCGTGACATAACTGAGCAGAAGAGGTTTGTTGAGAGAATGCACAAGTATCTACAACATTACAAAAGTAGAAAACAGCACATGATATAACTATGTGTATACCGTATTTCCTTGATTTAGCGCCCACGCTCTAATAAGCGCTCTCCCCCGAGTAAGCGCCCCCCCCCCCCCTCCCTCACTTTCTTAAACAGTGGGGATACAAGGAAAACCTCTTTCTATTGCCACTGTATTTATTAATTTTTAAGCCAGTGGAATCAGCAACAAAATAAATGCAACAAAGCACCCTCCTTCCAATATGGGTTCCCTCTTCTTAGCTGAAATTTTAGATAAGCGTCCGGGTGCTTATTTGAGGAAATGCGGTATATACAAAACAAAAAAAAAAGTGCATGAATCATTTAAGTAAAAAGATGAAAAACAGGTGTTAGAGAGGGATAAGCTAAAGCAGAGCAGAGGTTTTCAGCAACACTAATCACATTCCCTGGCCAAGCTTAAGTTTCTAGGCTATGCTTTTTATACCAAAACTTCTTAGCCTAGGTGTGTCACGCCATCAAGGGTAGATGGACTGCTCAAAAGTCTGTGTGCAATACAACAGAGAGATCCCTAACTACAGCTTAAGTTGAGGGCAGCTGGTTGAATTAACTTCTTTAACACAGAGCCTTTAAGCACAGTGTTTAAAACTCAAATTGCACTGCCTGACAAAATGGCACATGTGAGATCAAACAAAAAAAAAACATGTTATTTAAACTTACAGTTCCAAATCCTCTCAAGAGAAGTTTTCATTTTCTTCGGTTTTGCTGGCTTGGAAACTACAAATTTGAGTGAAAGAAACACATCACTAATCACCAACTTTAAAGCAGATTCTTAATCATTAATGATATCCAAATTTGAGCTCTGGCAGAAATAACTGTGTTATTCTATGGGGCAAAACAGTGACAGAATTTCTCTCCTAAATACCAACCAGGCAAGTGACAATACATAAAGAAAAAATAATGTCAATAAGGGGATTACTAGTTGATCTACTACCAAATTCTGTGAACTAACATCATCAGAATTGTATAGCAGACAGTAAGGAGAATTACTAGGGAGATCTTGGGAGTGAAAGGGTTAACTCCAGTAGTGTCCCTTATAACCTGGGAGTGACAATGGCAACCTATAAATTGTCAGTAAAACCGGGGGGGGGGGGGGGGCTAAAACTGTTTATCACCCCATCCAGGTGGATAAAAAGACTTCTGCTCATTTCATGCTATAAACACAGGGATAACTTCTGGCATTTAAGGCAGTCTCACATGCTCAAATTTCACAGTAAATAAACCTTACCAGCAGATTAAACTATGTTGTATGCAGGATTCTACAATTCATCACATCATTATGCAACATAATCCCCTACATTTGCAACTACATGAACAGAAAATCCAATCTGAAACAAAGAATTAATTATGAGTAACTAACCTTTCTGTTTCCTCTTTCGTGGGGTAAGTTGACCAGATGCTGGGGATGAAGACTGGTCATACAATTTGTCATTGGCATCATTGTCAATACCAAACAGATCAGCAAATTTTTTTCGGTCTGCTGCTGGGAAATGCTTTTCAATCAAAGCTTGTAACACACCTCTAAAAGACACAAATCATTTGAAAGATAAATTTGAGATAATTTCTAATTTACAAAGAATATACAACAGCCAAAATTATAAATAAAAAAAAAATCGAAAATAGGCTCAGTTGGCAATTGAAGTTCAGACTTCGAACTCAATCATTAGGAAGTATGTTCATATATGCAAATACATTTTCAATGAAAAATTTAACAAAATTTTGTTATTTACAATCAAAGGAATCATGAAACTTACTTAGCAGTAGAAACAAAGTCATTTAGTTCCCCTCCAGACTCTTCAAGTTGCTCTAGTGTTCTAGCTTCCCCAGTTGACTGCAAACCTACAATGACACACTGCAAAAAGGAGAAAAAGTACACATGCTTTTAGACAGTTACATAGAACAGGGTTTGTACCACTTTTCAAAAAAAAAAAAAAAATTTCAAGGACTTTCCCCTGAATTTTCCTGGACTCAGACTGGCTTTTCCAGGATTCCAAATTTCCCCTAAAACCCTTTCATTCCCAAGATTTCAAGATCAATTCTCCTAACAGTCAACAAAATATTTCTTACAACATAAATTCTGAAAACTTCATTGCTAAATTCAAGCAGATTTTCAGAACTTTCCTGGACCTGTAATAGTTTTCCAGGACTTTCCAGACCTGGAAAATGTCGAATAAAATTCTAGGACTTTCCAGATTTTCCAGGACTCATATGAACCCTAACAGAACCCTTGCGAATGTTAGGAAGTTTTCAAATATTTAAAATCACATGTTGGGATACACAAACTTCACGAGAAGTTTATCATATTATTTGATTATAAAGTAAAGAAGGAAGAGAAGAAAATACAGAGTATTTTTTGTGTCTTAATTGTAGTATAACAAAATAAACATTAACATGTGTGGTAATAGGGAAGGTTTGGAATTGTTACAGCAATACAAATTCAATTTATTGGAAACTTGCCTTTCCAGAATTGAGGGCATCCCTGGAAATGCTAACAACATTCCGCACTTTGGATGCAATGCACAGGTATTTAAAAAATCTCTACAATTTAAGATAAGAAAACAGAAGACTTAGTGATATTCATATTACATGGTTACAATCAAAGAGGAACTAGCTGGTTCCCAAAGATAAACAAGTAAAATCAACAGTAACATGAAGACATTTTGAGTTTTGCTGCTTGACATTTTGTCAGCTTTCCATGACAATTTTTTTGTACTTATTCAAACTCCTAAAAGGAAAGAAGCACGGTATGATTAAACAGACTTGCTCCACCAGAAAAAAGTATACAATATCCCATCAGGAGCTTGAACCTAACCCCCTCTGTTCAAAGACCACTGCAACAGCCATTACGCCAGCAGATCTTCCACCCAAAATCAATATCCTTACTTTTCCCACATGAGTGAAGTAAACTTGGACAATGTGATTGATCCTTTAACTTCAAGATGTGATTCATGCGTAACTTCCCCCTTCAATATCCATACATTATTAGGCGAGCAGGTAATGAGAATACTCAAACTCATCAGGTGGGAGTTCTTTTCTTGATCAAACATAGAATTCTCGTAACAATTTTAGTGGAAATGTGTAGCAGTTAAAGTAGAGAATTATCAATTAGATCTTGGGAGTTAAAGGGTTAAAAACATACACAAGTGAAAATGAAACTGGTTGCACTGCAAAGAAACAGAAAAAGTCTACGCATTCAGGCAGGTGTTCTTTAAAATATTGATAATATTATTACTCAATCTTAGAAATACAATTTTCAATCTATCACTGACACAAACTAACAGTGCATGCTTTACAATCTCAGTGACCTACTTTTAAATTGTATATCCCATATAAGTGAACAGGTTAAGTGAACAATTTCAGTACTTAACAATTGAACCCCCAAGAGTGACCAACATTGAACTTCTCCTTATACTATCCCCAGGTCACGAGAATAAAGGATATGATCACCAGCTTAAAAGAGCTGTTAACTGATAAAGAGATTCTCCCATCAGTACCACAGGAAATGTACAGAGAACAGTATGGAGAATATGCATACTGAAGTCAGCATATAAAGGGTTAATTACCTGATGAGCAGACCAAAACTGACCCCATATGGTCTTCTTCACTCTACTGTCAGCTTCCATGAGATCTGCAGCTTTTTCAAACTTCTCTCTTGCTTCCCTCCACTATGAAAACCACAATTTATAATCAATAAAACAGGTTATTTTTGTTATGCTAGGTATTTTATCAAATATTAAAATGCAAAAGTTTCCAAAAAAATTTAAATAACACAGGCAGTGAACAGTTGCCTGTGTTATTTGAATGCAAAATATAACTGACAAGTTTGAATGCAAAACATAACTTACAAGTTTGACTGATGCATCATACATCTCAATGAAGTCTTTGGCAAGTGGTAATTCTTTTATGTCAAAGGTTACTCCTGCAAAGCTAAGTTGACGTGTCATGTACATGCCGCGAAGCTGAGAAAAAAAAAATGAAGCAAAAAAAAACAATTAATTGACTGCCACTGAACCACCCATAAATGCTCTATTTCCTGGTTTCATAAAATTAATCAGTAAGCCTGCAGCTTTCAGCAAGCATACAGTGCTCTGATAAAGGAATCACACATGTGTGTACATTTATACAGAGGTACACATAGGTAAGTGTGGTGTATGATGTAAGAAGTGACGCTGTCATGCTTGTCAGTCTTGCATTCATGTAACACATGTGTGTTGCTTGGGATTGTTGTATAACACAGCCAAGTTTACTTATATTGTCGGTAAATAAATATTTGTTGAGTTTTGGACACAGAATGATTTCACATGCTACAGTTAGGTACCCCCCATACATTGTTGTCGTGGGAAGACTGACAAACTGAAATTTATTTTTCCATAATAATTATAATTCAAGGTACAAATAAGGATGCAAAACAGGTATTATATCAATTAATTTATTGCAAATCTTAGATCCCAGCACAGCATGGCTGTAAAAGAATGATGAACTGACCCATTCACCTCTCAAGACCTAAATACCAATTCCCCCTGAGCTGTGTAGGACTTCCTTGAATGTCAGGTAGTGCTTTATTAAGATAGCACTTATGTTCTAGTCTTTACTAAGCAAAGCATTCATATTGTAAGGAAAGGCTACCTGTTATCATCTCTAGGAGATAGGGTTGACATAGAAGATGATTTGAAGATCAAAGTTAAAGCCTCTAACTCCCATGAGTGACCAATAGAGAATTATTCCTCCTCACAATATAAACCCTTTAACTTCCAAGTTCCTCATTAGTTATTCTCCTTACTGACTTCCATACAGTTCTTGTGATGTTAGTCTGGAGAATTTGGTATTGGATCAACTTATGATCCCCTAACTGATATTTTTCTTTATTCTCATCACTTGTCTGCTTGATATTGTAGAGATATTGTAAGGAAAAATTCTGTCTTGGTCACTTGTGGGAGTGAAAGGGTTAACAATATCAAACTGACAGGAGATGGGAAAAAAAATATATCAAGTAAGGGATGTTTAGTGAATTCAAAACCAAATTCTCCAAACTTACATCATAAAAATTGTGTAGCAGACAGTAATTAGAGTTACTGATTAGTAAAAGGGTTACAGCTTCTGAGAAACTCTAAAAATTGCTATGAAGAGGTTCATTCTCTCTGAGGTTAATTTTCATTTAATTGAAAATGTGTTATCACAATGACAAGTGACATTTACATAAAACTCCTCAAGTCACCTTCATTTCCATAGCTACAATTTCCATTGCACCAACTCCTCTGAAGAAAAAAAAATGCAGTAATTACAACATGATACAGACCAGAATCAATTGCAAATTACTTCCTTTACCAATATTACCACTCACACTAAATTTATTGGGACTTAATCATGTACAATTAGGCTAAAAATCTGCATGTTCTTCTTGATTTCTTTCAACTTTGTGCATTTGGTTAATTTGTTGAAAGAAAAATTGTTGTTCACAGTGACAACATTTGAAGACAGTTCTGCCTAGTAAATCATTGTTGACGTCAATCAAATGGACAGCCATTTTTTAATATGTGGCTAGCAAAGGTGAGTGCTTCTCAATATTTTGACTTTTTTATAATTTAACCCCATCACAGCATAAAATGTACTAACCTTCGTTCCACAGCTTGAATGAAGTCATTAAATTCTCTGAAAGGTGTTCCTGGTCCCCATATTCCGAGCCGAGACATGTACGCCATGTTCTTGGGTTCAGAGGCACCTGAATGCATAAACAAGTATATTCAGAAACAAAGTACTTTAATTAACCCTTTAACTTCCGGAACTGGTTGACACATAACTTCTCCCAACAATATTCATTCATTATCCAACAAACTGGCAATTAGAAGAGTCAAACTTATCAGATTGAAGTTGTTATCTTGATCGAACACCAAATTCTCATTACTAATTTACAAGGAAATATGTAGCAGCTTAAAGGGAGAATTTTAAATCAGATCTTGAGAGGTAAAGGGCTAAACCTTAAATCATATCCACAATACTGCTTGCTTATAATATTTTAAGGCTTTCTACATGAGTTTTGGTATACACATGGCAAAAAAGGGGCAGGCACCATATTTGATGACCCAAGTTCTAGCTCAAAAACAGTCTCAAGACTATCCTGAGGACATGGAAAACTCTTTTTGAAAGTTGCAAGACCCTTTATTATGGCTGACCATCATGGCTCAGCCTTCCCAGCAGAGGAGGTAAGTCAACTGAATAGAGTCATAGACCCATGGCTGACAGACAGCACAAAAAGAGAGAGCTGCTTGCTTCCTTACCCAATGACCCAGCCGCCAAAAGTGCTCAGTCTGTTGCAGACAGATCCACACTCAGATTAAAGTAATCAGCCCCCATGGAGTTTCATCGAACTGACCAATGATGCAATAGTCGTCATAGTTACCATTATACCAACATGACAATCCTGGCTATAAATCCTTACAAATTGTTACAAACTGTGCATATTAACATACCTGTTGCACTACAGTAGATAACCCTGGCCTTAGGAAGTTTGCTCTGCAGTCCCAAGACAGCTAATCCAGTTTTGGTTGGCTTTGAGGAGCCAGTTGGTACCAAGTTTTTGGCCTTGTGGCACTCATCTAACACGATCTGCCACAAGACTTAAGGAATCTAGCAGTTTGTGAGACGTAACACCCTTTGTTTCAAACTCTTTAAAAGTAAGAAAACTGGAAAACTGTACTGGGAGAGTATTATTCTGAGGCTTAGATGACAACATAATTGCTGTACCCTCTCAATATAGAAAATTCTGAAGGCTACAATACTCCCAGTAAAAGCATCCCTGTTTACCAAGCATTATATAACAGGACTGATATAAAACATTACAAATAATAAAGTTGATTGCATTCAGACTTTGCACTGATGAAGGGCAGGATCTCAAACATATGGAAACACATTTTGTTCTCGAAAAATGAACACCTTTCTTCTAGTAACTTAGTGCCTCACAGCTCATAGGATTCGCTCTTTCATCATTTCACAATGAAAATGGCTTGTTGTAAAGGATACCACCCCATCAAAGTCTGAGCCACACCACTGCAGTAGCTGGCCCATCCTTGTATTGTACTTGCCAGAACCTTGACTCTCTCCAATCAGGGATGAGTATGTAGAGAATATCACTCCCTTTTTAAAACTGCCATTCCTTTTGGATGAAATTTTGGCATCATATTTGAACTGCAATAATGGGAAATAATGTAAAAATTAAAGATGACCAAGATGCATTCATATCACATTCAGATCACACTTGTAGCACATTCTCTATATCAATATACTATAATGTGCTTTAAAACACTTAAAAGGGAAATTTGGACTGGCTACATTGAGCAGTGTACAATTTTATAAAGAAATTTTTCAGGTGCTCCCAATTTTGGAATTTTTGGAAACAAGGCCAGACCACAATAAGGTCCCTTAACTAGCACAGAGAAGATGTAGGAGACGGAACCTAAAGTTTATGATCTTTATCTGAGTAAACTAGGGTATCTAACCATTTGCAGATTTCATAGCAAAGGCAGCACATTCTCCTCAGTTATTTTAACCCTTAAAACCCTAAGACTGACTAGTATCTAATATCTCCCTACAATATACCCCTGAATCACACATTAGGGTCATGAGAATGAAGGAAATGATTACTAACAAAAGAAGCTTTTGATCAGTAAATAAAATCTCCTTGTCAGCACCTTAGGATATGTATAAAGAACAGTATGGAGAATCTACAGAATGGCATTAGAGTGTAAAGGGTTAAGACCCTGAGTAATGGTCTGGTATGGAACTCTAACCCTTGACCTCTTGCACAGCAGTCCGGTGCTCTACAACCTCAGCTAACCAGGTGGCAGCAGATCTCACAACAGTCACTTCAATTTGGGAAACAATATAAGGACATTGAGTAATTGGCGCAATGGTTTCCAGGTTTGAACTAATGACCAGCTGGTCACCAAAGACATGAAGAATTGAGTGTAGGTAAGCAGTATTTCCAGACTCGTTAACAGCACTTGACTAACCTAGTGTCATAAAAGTACACAAGTTGTGACATTACCTTGTTAAGAGGATGTACATTGATGTGACATCCAAGGTCTTTCAGATCCCTGCAAGGGAAGTTAAAGCCAAATTAATGCAAGTCTTCAAAGGGATAATAATACATGATGAAATAACTAATTTGCGAGGAAATGCTTTGCAACTACATGTAAGAATTAACAATCAGACCTATGAGTTGAAAGGTTAATAAACCACTGGCTTTCTGTCCATAACTATTCATAAAATATCAATCAAAAACCATCAACTTAATATATAACTTGGTAAGAAATCGTTTTAGAAAAGGAATCTTATACTTGATCTTATATCTATTGGGGCTTTAAATCTAGAACTAAAATGAATATGTCAAGACAGCATACTTTTGAAAATAGACACCATGCAAGATGTCTTTCCTTCAAAATTTTTGCAGTTTCTCCAGTATATATAAATTATTATGGAGCAATTTTAATTTTTATCATATAGTCTTGTCAGTCACATATTATATGTTTGGTCTGTGTAAACTAATTGGTCATGGCTAAACTGTTAATCAGTTTATACAACCTTGCTAATAATACTCTACTGATGATCACTTCTGCTCAGGTTGTCAAAACGTCAGTCACCACCACTTACGCAGTTCCCTCAGGACTTCCTTCACCCAGACAATCACACTACATGATCAAATGTTACCACTGTGTTCAAACCATGGACTGAATTGTAATTTTACCAATTATAACAACCATTTCAACTGTAATCTTACCTTACAGCATCGTATCTCAAATCATTTGATACACTTAACCTGTTGAGAACAGACAGATTGGAGACCTTTACACACCAATTTTTTTTAAACCAAAATCACTTCAAAACCTAGCATTCACATGCATGAAAATACTGACAAAATTTATACCACACATATTTATTTGATAAAGTACCTAAGGTGCTGGTAAATTGATGGACCTTAAGAATGGGAACCTATTTGAGGTGGGTGCTTATTCAGAGAGAGGGCTTGCTAAATTTTCAACATTTTTGGCAAGCAGTAAGTGGATTTTGAAAAAAGGAACAATAACTTATGAAAAAATGTTACAGCGTACTATTAACAGAAAATTTAGAGCTGGTAGGCCAGGAAAGAAATATTGATCAATGAAGAAATGTAAAATGGTTTCCGTGTTTACATAGCCTGATGTAAACATGCAGGAGGTTGGGAGAACACGAGATAAGCGTAGGAAACCACGATGCAAAGTGGAGTGGTTTCCAGCTTATCAAGTGTTCTCCCAACCTCCCAAGTGTTTACATCAGGCTATGTAAACACGGAAACCATTTTACATTTCTTTTATAAAATAACTAATGAAAGAGGAATGAAAACTGTGTTTACATGCACTCATGTAAAATGGTTTTATGGCTAATCAGAGTGTGCGTACTATTTGAATTATTTTATAATAATGCTCTTGCATGCTTTAGTGAGAACTTCTTGGAGGTTGGATCATTTCTACCAGTGCTCAATTTCCCTCAGTTATAAGAACAACTAACTAATTAATTGCTCTGTTGCATTTAAACAATTATTACAACTAAAATATTTTATACTTGGAAGTTATTTTTTTAAACAACTAGAAGTTGTCATGAAATGCAGTCCCTTTTTACTTAATCTCAGGTGGATTTGTATTTATTACTAGTGAATTTGACAAAATGAACCTAATAAATATTGTAACATCACACTCAACAACTGAACAAGTCCCAGACAAAATTATACACATGTAAAGCATTTTGGATGGACAACAGGCTCTCTGAGTATTTTCTAAATAATTTCAATACAATAAAACACTACTATAAGAGACAATTAATATTCATTGTGCATACCAAATGGCCCTCTTCCTTCCGAGCAAATAGTTTTCATAAATGACTCCTATAATTCAACAAAGCATATTAGCAAAAATTCTTGATAGTCAGCAAACTTAAAGTTATATAGTTTGAACTGATAAAGTTCAAGTTTTACCAGCTCTCTTAAACAAAAGGTCAACAAAAGAGGTACCTGCTACTGTTCTTCCCTTTCCAACACCTGCACCATCACCTGAAAAGTTAATTTACTTAATAAAATTACAATGAAAGAGTTAGAATACTGAAGAGATTTCCTTGGTGAATTCACCAATTTAACAACCTGTATCTGGTGATCATGCACATGTAGCAAGCTGTAACATATTGACAAATACATTTGAATGGTCTAATAAAAAGTGAAAGAATTGTTTTTTTCAACGCTATAATTATAATGCTTTACCATTTTATTTCACAAAATTTATCTCTGGAGGTCACAGTATAAGCTGCAAGAAGTCACAAGAATATTCAAAAGTGATTTTATCTGAGGACTCTTTTTTTCTGATGACCCATTTTCATCCTTTGTTTACACTATGCTAAGTTTTCAAGAACATGGAACTGTCTTGTGAGTTCAAGAGTCATTTGCTATTCAGTGAGTGTTTTAATCAAAAGCACTGAAAGACAAATTGGTTACCTATTAGAAAGCCAGCTCTTGTCCCATCTGCCAAGAATGTCTCATGTTGCTGGCAAGCATACACAACAGCCTCCAGTTGTAGTGCAGATAAGTAACAGTTGTCAATTACTTCGTTGGGGAACATCAAACGATACCAAATATCAGGAGGCGTCACACTTGACAATGAACTGCGGTGCACAAGGAAATCATTAATTAACTGGCAGAACACATGGGTAGAGAATGTAATAGATTTATCATCTCAACTTAGTTGGTGGGTGAATGGAATTGTGCTTTGTGTAACAAAAGTGGTGTGTTGTTCCACAACAAGCCCCTCTGGAGGGGTTCCAGGAACATGCTCCCCTGAAAAAAAAAATTTGAAATTTGAAACTCTCTGAGTTGTGACTTCCAGTATTCTGGGACACATTTGAGTAACTTTTTTAAGCCAAACATTGATGACGAAATCATTGCTGTCTTTGATCATAATTCACAAAGATGTAGGTACAAAATGCTCTGACTCCTTCCTTCTTATGACAACCCTGGGTAGAAAATATTAAATTGTGTGTTTCAAGGAAATGAAAATTTCATTTGACCAATGATCATGAAAATTAATACAGCATGTAACCAACATGATCAACTTTGACCCATTGCTGGTTGAGAGGAACTGGGGAGGGTAGATTTAGTGTAATGTGTCTTTGCATATTTACCACTGTTACTTAGAACTGGAGAAAACCATGAACACCATCATATTAACAAAATGTTATTGTGTTCCAAGGAAAAAGCCAGTCAGCCCTTAGACAAATAAACCTCAAGTTCGCTTGTGTATAACAAGCTTATTGCGCATAGCTTTTACTCAACTGAATTTTTAATATTAAACAAAAATTTTCATGGTTTTCATTGTCTGCCTATTACACGGTTGCTGATGTATATCTACATGAGGCAGCATAGATCAATCACCTTGTTTCCACTACTGGATCAGGATGGCGACGTCCTAGGCGCACTGAAACAGAAAGCAGTACTTGGTAAGTTTAATCCTTTAATTCCCATGAGTGACCAAGACAGAATTTCTCCCTATTATATGCATACAATATCAAGCAGACAAGTGATGAGAATAGAGAAAATATCAATTAGAGGTTCATTAGCTGATCCAATACCAAATTCTCCAAACTAACATTATAAAAACTGTTTAGCAGACAGTAAGGAGAATAACTCATGTGATCTTGGGATTAGGGTTAATTTGATAATATAAAGAATTGATTCATTTCTAAAGTCAGTGAAATAGTAGTTAGTTGGTGGACAGGAATCCCAATTTATGATCTTATTAGTAATCATCCTTACAGTCTGCTATACAATTCTTATAATGTTAGTTTGGAGTATTTGGTATTGGATCAATAACAATCCCCTAATTTATATTTTTCTTTATTCTCATCACTAATCTGCTTCAGTTAGCATTAATAGTGTAAGGAGAAATTCTGTCTTGGTCACTTACTTGATGCTACATCAAGTTGTGTTCTTGAGCAAGACACTCAACCCTTTCAGTCTCTCTCTCAACCCATAGGTATAGAAGAACATCAGTTAACCCTTTAATTCCCAAGATCTAATTGTTAATTCTCCCCTCTAGCTGCTGCAGATTTTCTTTTAAATAACTTTCAAGAATTTGGCGTCAGTTAAAGATAGCAACTTCCATCTGATAAGTTTGAGTATTCTCATTACCTGTTCGCTGAATGGTGTACAATATCATAGGGAGAAGTTGCATGTTAATCACTTTTGGGGTTAAAGGGTTAACTGTTTTGAAAACCTGATTAACCTCCTAACTTCCAAGAACTGAATCTATATTCTCCCTTCTCGTTACTACATAATTCCATGAAAATTAGGTATGAGAATTTGGTATGAGATCAAAATAACATATTGTTTTGAATAAGCTTGTGTATTCTCATCAGCTGTTTGCTGGATTATATATGCGTATTACAGGGAGAAGTTACATGTTAATCACTTTTGGGAGTTGCATGCTTAAAGTTCACCTAAATCATCAGAAGAGAAATTCAGAATTGTTCTTTCCTGAATTAGCCTTGAAGTTAAATTACTCACATTTACTAGGAACATATTCCGCATAAGTATCTGTTTGTCCTAGTTCTTCTTCTTCATCCTCTTCATCTTCATTTTCGTCACTAACAGTATCATTGTCCTGAAAAACGTTAGTATCATATTTAATGAAGATGATTAAAAATGATTCCCCCAATGTACCATTTCAGATTATCTTGTCTCAGTTAAAGGAGTTTATTAAAAACTCCCAGATCCTGAGAGCTCCAAACTAGCTCAAACAAACTCCATTCCTACCAACAGCATAGTTCCACTTTCTGCATATAAACATTCACACAACCCACAATTCCTCCATTTGCATTGACAAAGGGCTATTGCTTGAAACATCATGCTTGTAACTCTTTACAGTGGCCAATTTACGTTATCAACTCAGTTGATAATACTAAATTACTTTAGAATTCTTTGCAACAGTTTCTGGAGTTGAGTTGTGAAGGCATACTACTAAGTTTAATACTTTACTCTCTAAAATCACTGTTCTCTAAACATTTCTTGTGGTTCTAACAGAGAGAATTGGTTTTACAATTAAGAGCTTCTTTAGTTTGTGATCATTTCCCTTATTCTCATGACCTAATTGTGTGATTCAGGGGTGATATTGTAAGGAGATAATATATGTTAGTCATTCTTAGGGGTAAAAGGGTTGTAACGTGTATGTATGTCTTTCTGTAAGGTCCTTGTTGTTGTTGTACTTTTGTTTGTTGATCTTGTTACTGCTGTTTTCAGTTAAATGTCCTTGTACAGTACAGGAGAGTTCAGTCTTTGATTCTCATTATACACCCAAGTAAAGTGTTTGTTCTTGCTACTTATCAGCTGTAACAGGGCAGTCTGATACAGGGTTGAAAGTTGGTTGTCACGAGACTGTTTAACTTTTTCACTCTCACTGGTAATCAACAAGCAATTTCTCCTATAAATAACAATTCACTGTCAAGCCAAAAGGCATCAAGAAGGAAGAGAAGTATTAAGTAGAGCATCTTGTTTGATTGATCATAAATTCCCAGAGCTAAATTTATACGAAAGTTATATAGTAAATAGTAAGGAGAGCTGAGTTCCTGAGAGTGAAAGGCTTGCCACAAAGCTGTAATGACGCAACTTGAACTTGAATTGTTACGTTGTAGAAACATAGAGGTGTAATGTACCATCTTGTATCAACTTGGCTGTACCAGGCTTGTTAAAACAATTATTTCGTAACTCTGTTACATGAACTGCTCAAAGTGCACAAACTATTCTGCTGAGTTAAGCACTGTTGGTGATCAGAAAAGTCGTAAGTCAAATAGGCAATGATATATAAATACAACAGAAAAAAAAGGCTTACCTCTCCCACATGATTCAAACTAACATCATGGTTTGACCACAGTCGTGAAACATCTCTAGAAAATAAAAATAATCCTGTTCATCTCTGATACTTTCTCGAGAGAAGCCACACAAATGAAACCGGAAATGTTAACAGTCAAGCGACGAGCGACGACGTAACGATGAACAAGTCGTAGATGAAACTAATAATACAAACTGCAAATCGTTTGAGGAAAGCTAACTGACTTGCTCATTGGGATAATCACGGACAAGAAAATGACTTTGTTTATCGGCAACTTAGACAATATTGAAATAAAAACATGTAGACTCACTTCTTGGTGAGTTCCTTCTTCGCAGCGTCGGAAATATTGCTCACAGAGTTACTGCTCACAGAGTTATTGCTTCCACTGTTTAACAAATCTAGTAAAATCGGAGATGTCGAACTCTGCAACCTTGGAACATTTGAGTTAATGGAAGGTTTAGAAACAGACTGCGGAGTTTGACATCTGGGCGGAAGTTGTCGAGGAGTTGGAAAAACTGTTCCACTTGAAGCCACGTTTGGAAAAGTTGGCTGTGGTCCCAAGAAAGTTTGTTGGACTTGAGAAACTTGAACATTTCTTTGGGTATTTACATTATTGGAAGTTACCCTGCTGTTATTTGAACTTGTTAATGTCGGGTAAGGCGCCTCTGGAATAAAATCTCCGTTTAAATTGAAATTATCGAGGAAATCGAAATCGTCTGGTCTGACATCCCCAAAATCAAACAGGCTCTGGGGCAGAAAACTACCCGGTGGATTTCCAAGCAAATCATCTAGATTAAGACCACTCTGCCCCAAGGCTTCTGACAGGAGATCTGTTCCAAAGAGGTCTTGGTCATTCTCTCCACTCATTTTATGCACAAGTCAGCGAAAAACGCTGGAGAGAAACGGAAACTCTCTTCAGCAATCACTATTCCACCATTTTCCGGCATGAATTCACATCAACACATGCGCATTCAGAAGTAATGGTACCCAGAGCTCCTCGACCACCCTCTTGACTACAAATATAGCTGAAGATTGCTTGTTTCCTGCTATTTTCACGGAAGGAAAACAGAAATTTTGTTAAACAATTGGACGATATTTTCATTCCGAACAAAGAGTTCAGTTAATTATACACCTCTGGTTGAGGTGATCCACCTTTCTGAACTAATCGAGGAAAGTTCGAGACCTTTCTCCTCTCATTTAGTCTAACAACGCTAAGTTAAGAAGATAAATTTTTGACCGTACAATTCGTGGAAATTATTGATTAGCACCCCTAGCATACTTCGTCAACTGTTCCTCTCTCTCCTTCCCGGGACGGGATGATCAAATACTCCACTCGTTAATTGCGCCTAGCACAGGCCAAGGAAAATGAGGGGAAAGAAATAAACTCCTGGTTTAAGCCGAGGTATATGTTAATTAATACCACTAGAGATACTTCTAGATATGGTACAGAAATATTTTTTCTGAGACGTCTACAAGAAAACGCTGAAATGGCGTAAAGCCAGGATATAAGTTCTGTCAAAGAAAAATATGAAAAATAACAAGGGCATACGGTTGAACCCCGTCAACTCGAACCCTCGGTAACTAGAATTTCCCGCTAACTCGAATTCCCCGCTAACTGCAAGCAAAACTGAATTCCCTCGGATTGGCCCCATATATTTACTGTTACCTTAACCCCTTTCACTCGAAACTCCGATAACTCGAAACCCCGCTAACTCGATGCGATTTTTACTTCCCTCTAGGTACTTTTCTGTCTAACTTTACCCTCGATAACTCGAAGTCGATTTTCACTTTTACGAACTAATGAGCCATGACATTTTGCACTGAAAGATTACATTTCATCTCATTTACATATTATGACAAATTGACCTCTGTCGATATCAAATGTTTGTATGTCCGTAAATAATTGAACAGTTTTGACATTTCTTCCTGGCTAAGAGAAATAATGGCGCGTAATCTAAAATCGATCTGTTGTTTGTCATTACTTGTCAGTGTTACCCTGTTCATTCTTGAGAACAATAACATGTTTCTTCTTCCCCTCAAAAATGAAACCTCTATAACTCGAAACCCAGATAACTCGAAGTAATTTCAATTCCCTGGGTAATTTGAGTTAACGGGGTTCAACAGTATACCTAAAGAGAAAATTCATATTGTAGAAGTCAAGGGAAGGAGAGCTCTGTTTCCATCTAGAACTAAAAAAATAATTGACATGTCCCACCAGAAGCTCTGACTGTTCCTCTCTGACCGCTCACATTCTCATGGATCTATCTACTTTCTTACTTTTAAGAGAAAATGTGTACCACCTCTAATTCTAATTTTATTTTGTGACTGAAAAAAAACCTGCAATGTAACTTCATTTTTAATTCCATTTTCTTAGCTTTCATCAATCAATGACAGGGTGGCAATGAGAAGAGCAAAATTCTAAACTGACCATGAAACTACTAAATCACTCAATCCAAAAGCCACAGCCCTTTCACCACCAAGATCTCAACATGAATTCTTGTTTATGAACCTTAAACTTAAAAACCACTTTCCAACCTTTCTTGATAATCTCAAATGCAATGAAGCTATTTTCCCAGTAAAAAAATGTATTTTAAGGGGATTGTTGTCTGATGGAAAAAGTAATAAAAAAATAAAAACATTTTCTCTCAAAAAGCTACAGACATGAACTCTATAAATCTTTGAGCTTGTGATGCAAGGTGCCATTCATTCCTAGACTTTTTATGATTCAGTTGTTGCCTGTGGTATTTAAACCTATTCTTCTAAAAAATTAATACCCATATCTAACCATGGGAAAAAACTACTACTGTCAACATTTATTGTGATGTTCCACATAAATCTGTGTTATGAGAGTGACTGACATCTAATTTCTCTTTGGAGCATCACCCTTGAATCAAATGTAAAGATCATGAGAATAAATTAGATGATCACCAATTGAAAAATTCTAATCATAGGTTAAAACTTCTTCCATCAACATTTACTGTGATGTTCCTCATAAATCAGTATTATCCTTTTAACCTGTGAGTGTGACTGACTTCTAATTTCTCCTCACAGTAGCACCTTTGATTCAACTGTTAGGGTCATGAGGATAAAGTAAATGATCACCAAATTAAGAAGCTCCTGATTGTCAAACAAATTCTCCTTGTCAATTCCATTGGAAATGGAAACAGAATTGCTTGGAGAATATGGATGCTAAGGTGAAAACAGTTTTAAAAGCTCTTCATTGAACCATTTTCTTTTTAGGATCATAATTGTATCTCTTGAACTCCAGTGTTACTTTGATAGGTCTTGTGACTTGCTCTGAAGAATTTGTTTCCTCATTTGGAGTTTCCGATGTGGTTCCCTTGTTTTTTCCACCTCCTTTTTTCTTTCCACCGGAAGAAAGCTTCAAAGCAGTATCAGGAGACAAGCCAGTAGCAATCCTGATCTTGACTTTACCACTTTGACCAAACCCACCCTCAATCATTCCTTGTTCTCCAGTTGACAGGGTCACTTTCATACCCACAAAATTTTGAATGTTTGTTTCTTTCTTAAACAAAGAGTGAGCAATGACAGAATATTCATCAGCCATTCTCTCCACAACACCTTGCTTTGCCTTGATCTTGTATATCTTAAGTTGGGGTAAAAGGGTTTCCTTAAAGTTCTTCTCTGTCACTGGAAGTAATAGCCTTCCGTGAAATGCTATTCTACAGACGTTAAGATGAATATCAGAATCAAGCCGTGAGCCAATCACAAGAGAATGCTCTGGGCATGTCACAGGTTTTTCAAACTCAATGAAAAGCCACTGATGACTTGAAACAGACTTGCTTTGTGGATCTGAATCTTCACAACCACCTGTGCTTAAACTTTTCTTTGACTGATCTATCACCTCTTCTTGAAAGATGTACTCTCTAGAAATATCAAAGGCTTCTTGTGTCTTGGGATCCATTGATTGCCCAGGAGGAAGGCCAAACACTTGAAGTGTACCCATCACGGTTTCATGACCAATTGTTATGTGAAACTTTGATTTTGAAGTGATGGTTCCTTTGTAGTATGATATTGGTTTAACTGAAACAACTGCAGCAAAAACAGTGGGTACAGTACTGGGACTACAGACAAGGCCTCTCTCCAACAGCTTTGGATCAAACTGGGTGACGCACATGCCCACTCTGTCACCTTGTGATGCATCCGTGACAGGAGCCTTGAACATCTGCATGGATTTTACCTTCTTGGTGATCTTCAGGGAGGGGATCTCAATTGTGTCATTAATTTTGAGACTTCCACTGAGAATAGTGCCCGTCATCACAGTGCCTTGACCTCGAATGGAGAAGCAGTGGTCAACAGCAAACACCAATGGTCCAGAAGGATCTCTGTTAGGAAGGTACGACAAGGATGAGAGTAAATCAACTAGCATCTGTGTTCCAACAGGTTCAGAATCTGGGGAGTCAGGTCCGCCAGGCTTAGCGGAGACTGGTAAAATTGGAGAACCTGCAAACTTGGTGCTTTCCAATGTCTTGGTAAGCTTCTTGGCCATCTGGGAAAAAAAGGATAAAACCTTTTACTACAAAATGTGATTTACATGCAACTTCTCCAAACAATGTCAATATAATTACTAGGCAACAAGTAATGAGATTAGATACCACATCAGCTTAACTCTTTAACCCTAAGAGTGATGAACATGTAATTTCTCCCAACAATATCACTCCTGAATCAAGCATTCAGGTTATAAAAAGAAAGGAAATCATCCCTAACTAAAGAAGTTCTTGATTGTTAAACACATTCTCCCAATCAGCACCTTAGAAAATGTATAGAGAACAGTAAAGAGAATAAGGATAACATTAATTCAGGCTCTTGCCTTGAGAGAGCACCCAGTTTACTGAAATGAATTTAAAAGGAAAGGAAAATCATTAACAAGGGAGTAGCATGAATGAGATCATGGAAGTTTAGCCCTTTCCAACCCAGAACCAGCATGCATATTCTCCACACTGATTTTGATAAATTTCCATAAGTGCTGTTAGGGAGAATTTGTTAAAACAGGAATTTGTGCTGTCCAATTCTGCCTGAGATCAAGTGTGTGATTAACAAACCTGAATACCATTTTATGGTCATCCAGTTTTGATAATCACCTACATGCTAACTGACTGAATTAAACCCCAGATTCTGTCCTTTTACCATGATACATCACCATAACACCCTTCAGATCATTTTCTTACAATACACATTCCAATAAATTTTACAATATGGGTAAATGATCATTCATTAAATCAATCAGATCTGTTTGTCAAGTATAAGGAAGCTACATGTCAATCAAACTATAAGGCTACAGTGTGTATTCATCTATTGGAATTCATTACGAGAAATAGAAGGGCACATTTTTTTTTTTAATCATATGGCGTCCTTAACAGCCTGGAGCTTGTTGTTTTGGTGCACACATCATTTGATCACTATGTCTTCAGGTAAGCTAGCTTAGGGCTGAAAAAAAATATAGCCAACACTTACTAGGCTCTCAACCCTTTCACACCCAAGCTTAAGATTGCGATAGTTATTCTCCTTAATGTCTACCACACAATTCCTACAATGTTACTTTGGAGAATTGGGTAGTGGATCAACTAATAATCCACTGATTGATATTTTCATTTATTCTCATCACTTGTCTGCGTGATACTGTATTGATATTGTAAGGAGAAATTCTGTCTTAGTCACTGATGGGAGTTAAGAGCGTTTAACACGGTCCATACCAAGATCGAGAACATCGACTTGTTTCCCACGAGTTCATTTGGGAGATAAAATAAAACAAATAAGACGAAGCACTGCGAGAAAAACCTTACCTTTTCGATTAACGCTTGTTTTTTATCTTCTTTCAACAAGTCAGTCTTGTTCAGCACGACGACCATTTTCTCGCAAAGTATCTCTCCGATCACAAGACACTCGGCAGTCTGAGTCTGCATCCCTTTGGTAACGTCGACGACAAGCATCATCATATCGATAATCTGAGCACCTCCAATGATTGTTCTGATAAGGGAGGCATGGCCCGGGCAGTCGACGAGTGTAAACTGAAGAATGTCAAATCCGTGCTCCTTCAAATGTTCTGGGATGGGTACTTGAAATGAAGAAAAGCCGAGATCCAGAGTTATGCCACGTTCCTTACTTTGAGGGTTTTTATCAAAAGAAGCTGTGGATGCAGTGGAGCTTAAAGCTTTTGCAAGTGATGTTTTTCCACTATCGATGTGGCCAAGAACTCCGATGTTAAAGTTTAGAATCTTTTTACTAGCCATCTTGGAATCAGCTGGCATGTCGCCTTGACCAGGCAAAGTACTACGTTGTGTAAAACTAACATACTTTCTCAACCTGTCTTCCCATACTTCCTTGCAAGCCACATCTGCTTGAGGAAACGGATGGGGGGGTGGGGCCACATCTGCTTGAGGAAACGGATGGGGGGGTGGGGGGGGGGCTTTAGGGGGAGATCGGGTAAGTTGTATTGTGACCCAACCAAAATTTTCCGACCCCCTCCAGGAGATAAATAGTGAGCGGTCCAGGAGCAGGTTTGACATGCTCTTCTCTACAATCTAGAGCTCAGGGACATTTTTGGTTCCTTGTTAGCGGTATGGGCAGTTTGGAAAGTCCCATGGTTTCAACGAGCAATTTTCATTCAACTAATTTATTCTTGTTTCCTCGTCACCATATATCCACCAATAGAGTAGCTCCATTTTCTGCATATAAACACGCACACAACCCACAGTCCTGCATTTGCTCTGAGGAAGGGCAAGTTGGAAGACCTGTTGTTGCATTTCAGAGAGCCGCAGGCATTCGAGATTAAATTTTAAGTAAGCCTTTTAGCGAAACCTAAATTTCGGAGCCTATGGCGCGAAAAAATGGCTGAAGAATAATTACTCAATTGTTCGTTGCCGTACCGGCGACGAAAGAGGTGTTCTTGCAAAGACTTGTATAATGTCTGAGAGACAAAATGAAAACTTCTGTGTCGAGAGAATGTCGTAACTCTGGCTGTAGCATCCATGGCATGTAAAATAATCTCTACGTCTTCCCCCTTCCTATTTGCTATGGAACTAAGAAAATCTTCGCTTGTTCTGACCTCCTACTACAACTACTCGTCCCCTGTTTTGCCAGCCAGCCTTGATGGTCTTCTGTGTTAGATAGTCTGTCAGCACTATCTTTGTCTTGGTGTGTGAAAGAAATCCTTTTCAATGATCGGAATCTCTGTGATGTCTGTTGAAGCAGTGATTCGATTATCATTCTTGCAAACAGGTTCCTGTGCTCGTGCAGCTCCACAACATTGTTTCTGCCGGCAGTCTTCCAGTTTGAAAGCTTCTGTTTCTTCATAAAGTCCTAAAGATTGACTTTCTCCTAGGGACGGAGGCAGGGGGAAGGTAAGGAAGTTTGTAGGGTTTTTGCTGCGTCACGATAATTTACCTGATCCCTCACGAGCTCTCTGATATTCTTTAAGTTATCCCTTCCCTCATTGGCAGTTAATAGGCAGTCAATTATCTACAGACTCTCCTTTATACTCTGTAGGCAACAACGGATTTCCCCACCGTTTCCCCTGAAAACCATGAGATTTACCCCAAACTTCCAGTTTGAGCTGACATAAATTTCCATGCTGTGAAGAAGAATTTATGAAGAATAGCAAAACATTTAGACATCGCAGGAAGGTCAAAGGAATTTTTAGTAGCCCAGTAGTGCGTGCTCATTTAGTCACGTAACTAATCTTAAGACGCCCAGTTATTAAATTCCATGCTCATTTAGTCACGTGAGTAATCTTGTGACGTCCAGTTACTAAATGAGCGTTTAAGACATCAACGAGAACATAGATTTAGATAAGGGTCTTATATCTTTGGTTCTATTTTGGTGCTATTTTTCTATAATAAAGGAAGTTACAAGATGTTTTATATAGTAGCCTCGTTTTCATGCACGGTCTACAGGAGCATTTCTAAAGGCGTTTGAGTATGTTCTATTACCTTAAGCCTTTACACCCTAACATCAGTATGCATATTCTCTATACTGATCTCTAAACATTTCCTAAGGTGTTGACAAGGAGAACTTCTCTGACAACCAAGAGCTTCTTTGGTAGGTGATCAGTTTCTTTATTCTCCTGACTTTAATGTTTGATTCAGGGATGATATGGTAAGGAGAAAATAGATACAAGTCACCCACAGGGGATAAAGGGTTAAACACCTATTAAGTTTATGTTCATGTTTTAAAAAACCCATGAAGGCGCTGAAAATGGAAAAAAAAATTCTTACAGGGAAACGGAAGAGGTCACGTAAATAAAGGTGCAATCGCGTGACAATTGATCCTGGGACACCTCTCGGCCTTTTTTAAGTAAATGTATATCACACACTGAATTAAGTTTTTTTTTTCATCAACTAAGAGATCTTTTGATAAGAATTGTGTAAACATTGTTGTAACGAGAAGTAAATAAAGACTAATGAACGCATGTAGTCCCCTCCTATATATTCTCAGTCTGCAATGATTCTTTTACCGGAGAAGTTCGACTTACGTATTTTAAATTCAACTTGTTTAGGCTATTAAGAAAAGGGGCTTAATTGTCATGTTCCAATTGTCATGTTCGCTTGTATCATATTCCGACGCAAAGTGCGATGTATCAGCGAAGTATCCAGGTGGAAATGAATTTTTTACTTTGTTTTCCTGTTAGAAAGATGTAAAATCTCACCTGGGACAGCTGAAGGTGCCTCAGACATGTGTTCGGTCAGAAAAGGAACTTATTTTGGCCAGAGGATTATTCAATCAGGACGACGCTGATGAAACCGTTTGTCCAAAGCATCGCGCAGCGCTAGGTACTCGGTGGAGACAAAATCTGAAATGCCACCATGAAATTGACTGAATAAACATCAAGTTTATGGCAAAAATTGCATAAATTAACGTCAACGGTCACGTACTTCAGAGAGCTGTGATCACACATCTCTTATAGGGCCCCAAAATTTTTTTGCCTACAAACATAGTGTTATAATAGGTAACTTCTATGATCATATGTTTGTCGATACACAATCTTGCCCGTTAGAGATATTTAGATTTTAAAATCCCTACTTTTTTATCTTTTTGAATAGTTCCGGTTAATGGTTACCTATTCTAAATCAGCAAAAACGAAAGCAAATTACCCCAGTTTTAGGAATTAATTTTGTTAAGGTTCAAACAACTATTGGACAAAATAAGATTAAAATCCATCGCATTCTATTAGCGTGAGAGATATTTGTAGGAAGTGCAATTTTCGAGCTAATTTCAGCCTCTTAGCCCAGGGATTTGATGTGAGGGCTCTAATACCCCAAGGAAAATTAACTGGGAGTCCGAACTACAGTCTGTACTCAGGATTCTCGAATAACTTAATGATCCCAATAAACTGTGAAAGTTTGAAAGCAATCGGTGAGATGGCATGTATCACGCCTGCCCGGTCCTCTCTTGGACAGACTCTCAAATATATTTTGAGCTCTAAATTGTCGTGGAGAGGTTCTGAAATTATCAGTGATTTATTCTGGGTAGTTGTGTAACGGTTTCTGGCAATTTTCTTGAGAAATTTTGTTTGTAACTAAAACCATCAATGGTATCTCGCGTTCCTTCACATGGAGGGCCTAAAGCCACGGAGCAGACTAAAAATTTCAAGCTGTGGAATGACAGGAGGATAGTCCTAGCATCAGAGATCTAACCAATAGCCGATTTGCAGAGATTTTTCTACATCAAAGCGCAGGGTGCATATCACAAGAGGCAAGTGACCAGTTAAAACTTGAAGTATTGATGAGCCTGCCTAACACTTCTCGCTTCTGCAAGCGATTTTATACTTCTGTCTTCATAGATTAGTTCAGACCAGGATACATTTTGATGATTTTTTTTCCAATGTAATTTTGAATGAGGTGCCATTTACCCATCAGTATTTTCTTGCGGTTAGATAAAGCCGGGTGATATTGCATTACAAAAGGCAATATTTTCTTCTGCGTGCTGTTTCCTTTCTTTGTTTTTTAAGTGACCCTTCTCTATTGGAGCAGACAACTCCAGACATGTATTTCCCCAGAATTTCGTCAGGTCTCCTCTTTCCCTTCTTTTGTCGTATTTTTAAGCTCTGTACGTTTTTTATTAAATGTGGTGCGCGTCGGATTTGTTTTTTTTTCTCCTTTTGCGAATCCTTTCTTTAAGCCAAGTAAATAGTCTTCACGGGCCGGCACGACTCCTGCCAGGAGAATTTCTCCGCACTTGCCCGTATGTTAACAAAAACAGAACTGTGGTTGGCAAGGATTCTTTTTGAGATGCTTCATCAAAATCATTCCTCAAATATTTAAGATTCTGACTACTTTCAGACGAGATATTCAATGTGAAAGTTTATTTAGGATGAGTCACCCAATCTTGTAGTCTACACATCCTACTACAATCTTCAATGTACTGCAAGTATTCACTGAAACTGAAGGGTTATACAAAAATAGGCTGTGCTACGCCAAATACGAAAAACCACTAAAAAACCACTCTTTAGAAGTGGCCAAAAAATATGTAGAAACGTATTCCTCATCTAATGCAGCAGCACTATACCCCGAGGAAAGGGTAACTAAAATAAACCTAGTTACACTACTAATCACACAGAAAATTCAATGAAAGCAGTGATATTTTACAGAGAGTTGTAAAACAAAATTACATTAAATAAAAAAAAAAAAAAAAAAGAAAGTAGTCAAACCTAAGACTGACCGACGTAGAATGACTTAATTTTCCCGCGAAACGCTTAAATAATCCAAAACTACCGTGTTGCCATGCGAACCTATTCAACGTGCCTCAGAATATTAATTTCTGACTAATTCGTTCTCATGTCCCTCAAACGTCAGAAATTACATGTTTTGTCAATTAAATCTTACAAAAGCCTTAAAAAAAATCAAACCAGATTTCAGTGGTTCGTTTTACACCTAACTACTTTACTGATTTCGCTTTCTTTAAAAGCCTTACGTACCCTAATTTGGGATAGCTCTTTTTTTTTCAACGTCAATGAAATAACGGATAGAGTATTTTCTCTACTTATTTCTATTTAATTTATCCATCTAAAAGTCTTTTAGCTCTGTTTCCTTCAAGTAACTCTCATTATTTACTTTGTCAGGGTCTGTTTTCCTGTGAAAAAGCGAAAAACAACAATTTATTAATAACTCGATTAATATTTAGGATATAAAGCAAATACAATTATACCAAGCACAATATGTAAAATGTATATGGAAAACACTTGTATCTGATTGGCAGAGAGCGTCTATAGTAACTTTTCGAAAAAAAAAATATATATATAGGTATATATTAAACTAG